GGCTATGACCTCACACTGGCCCTGGGTATGCTGACCCTTCCATCCTCTCCCAGAATTACGGCGAGGCGCTGCGAACGATCGCCCAAATTGGACGGGATATCGAATATCTGCTCTGGCTGGCGCGATGCTTATCTTGGGCGGGCGATATGGACGGCTCATTACGGAACGTCTCTCGAACGTGACAACGAGGAAGAGGGCCGTTCGTGACGTAGAGAGCTCGGCCAGTGTTCGTTGGCTCTCACCTCATTGTACAATCTCATCCTTACTTCTGATCCACTCAAGCTGTAAACGTAGAATCTCATAATTAAGATGATGCTGTTTGCAATCTCACGGAGCGCGTTCTATTCACACAAACTGTCCAAAATATGTACCAAGGTAAAGGGGGTCGAGGACAAGCCAGTTTCGAACGGAAGACAGTGGAGAGTGCACACATCCCGAGCGACATGCACACATCCCGAGCGATGATGCTGGCCAATGTTTCGCACCACGTTCACGGGGAGAGATATGGCTCTGTCAGCAAGGCTGAACGAGCACCTGACGGCAAGAAGGCCATTTCAGTCCGTGATCTCATAATCATGACGGGTCCAGCACAAACGAAGACGAACAAGAGACGGCGCCGGGCGATGACGTAGCCCACTCAGTGCACAGGGGGGAAAATTAGCCAACGGCACCGTGGTTGGGGTGACACCCACTTCAGGCGCCGGGGACAGAGTCCAATGACAACGAGCCCAATGACAGCGCAAAGCCCACTTGCGATACCCGAAGGTATGGTCACAGAACAAGTAGAGTCAAAAGAAGATCCCAGAAAAGCACGAACAACAAGCGGCACCGCGGCTGGGATGAGGCCCACTTGCGGTGCCTGGGACAGAGTCCAATGACAACGCGGTTGGGACTAAGCCCACTTGCGATGCCCGAAGGTAGAGAGACATTAAAAATCAAACAATACCTAGGATAAGCCACTAAGTATCTGGCGTGGAGAGAAATGCACAGGACCCGACCGGGGATTGCCTCCAAACGAGGAAGGCGAGCAAAAGACAAGGACCGCGTCCTGTCAGCGCCTCTCTGTACTCGCCTCCAAGTGACCGGAATCAATTGGGGCGGAGGCAGGAACAACGTGACCTGACGGGTGTGGGCCCGCGCGCACATGCACCGGAAGTAAAACCCGAGAGAGATCAGACCATGGGCACCAGATCTGAACGGACGAGTGTCCTGCCGCCATCCGTTGTGCAAAATCCAGCTCAAGACTTGATTGCGTCTCACCGAATGTGGCCATGTAGGGTAGCCCTACAGCGTGAGTAGCGACGTGCTGACGATAGCGGATAAGGCGCGGCTTAGGAGCATTGGACTCGCCGTCTTGGATCCTAGACTACGCTCGGCGGAAGGGGTGAGCTACGACAGCACTCGGCGGTGCCGTCCGTGCTCATACTTGGATACGCTCTGACACCGAGAAATAAATGTGATGCTCGTGCCTCCACATGACGCACTTTGCCCGGCTTGTGCTTAACGCGCAGCTATATATCCTTTCCGCTCCAGCTGCATCGAACAGTTCTTTGGCTTTGCAGTTACATCTGCCACACGAAACGATCCCTTGCGCATGGCCCTCCGCGATACAGACGATACAGAGGATACGGGTCAGGATCTACTGAGACTCGAGCTGTGGAGATGTCAGATGGAAAGTACGCGAGTAACGTGCATCTTCACCGCCTTTGTTCACTTATGCCTTGCCACATAGACCAGGCCGTTGCTGATGGGACAGGGAATGCGGGAGGGACATATGGAGAAGCGTACGATGGCTACTTTGGCACTAGCGAAAAGGCTTATGACCACCTAACAACGGGAATGGGTGTAGAATGGGCCGCTGACGGGGCAAGCCACGCCGAGTATCTTCCAACGTGGGTGCCGGCGGCCTCAATGGCCCCGCCTGATCCTGCGTTGAACTTGCCCGGGTTGCGGATCCCAGAAACGATGGGGGTTGCCGGTGTGGAAGCCCACGTTCAGTTCGAGCACGCACCCTGTAGCTCCGAGCGGACTGCAGCCGGCGGCATGACGATGACGATATCGGACACCTGCTGGCTTGACTTGGGCAGGTGCGCAGGTGGAGAAGACAACAGGCACGTGACAATTGTGCCGGGGATGAATGGCGGATGGATGGATCCGACCGGTACAACTTGGCCTGCCGCGGTGGGGCACGCCTTCGGCTCAGACCTGTTCAAGGTAAGGGAAACAAGGTTGGCGCGACCGACTGGGACACGAGCTGACGCGCGATTTCCAGCGACCGGACAAGGATATTGCTGGGAGCGGTGAACATATATCAGACACAGGGAACCCATGCGTGGCGTGGGAATGGCGACCGATCGAGGACTGGACGTGGCCTTCGCTCCCACCAACGCCCTGGATGAGGGGCGACGGTCGCGCGTGGGACGAGTGCAGCCAGGCGCTGTCGGGTGCGGCGTCATGTGCAGAGGCTCTCACCAGGCGAGCCGGAAAAATAGACTCATGGGTGAATGCGGACCCGAGCAGACGGATGATGGAGGAGGAAGGGACTTGTTCGGATGCGCTGCCAGTCATCCATAAGCGTGATCGGAGAACGGCAGCGGAGAACGGCAGCGCAGCGTCAACCGGACTATGTTCCACGACCGCCGAATCCTTTCATATGCTTTCGACAGGAGTTCTCGCGTCGGTGCCGACAAGGCGTGATACCCGGCGTGATACCCGGCGTCACGGTGCGCGAGCAGCGAGTCGTCAGCATGCTCGCGGGAAAGGCGTGGACGGCATTGCCTCCGGACGAAAAAGCCAAATACGTGCAGGAGGCGGCCTTGCGAAAGTGGGAGCATACGAGGCGTCACAAGGGATACAATTTCCGTCCCCAATCAAAGATGGCTCGCTGACAGCAGCTTTACTCTAATGACAAACAAGATAGACCCATCTATCTAGTTAAATCCTGAGCAGTGCGTATCCCATCGGCTTTTCTTAGAACATTATGCACAATAGAGTGCAGCAGTCTCTACATTAGACGAGTCCATGTAGAACGAGAACAGTGAACCCAATGACCTCATCGTCTTTGCGACCACTGTATGAGGTAGTACAATAATCATCTAACTGAACGATAATACAACGCGCGGGTCCGACGAACCCTTCGCCCATGGGCAATATTCTGTGGTGTCATCCAGTTCCAGACCTCTCGGAGCTTCCAGATTTTGGCTATAACCGTCTCCACCCTTCTTCAGTCGATGTTTGCTTGCTCCTTGCAAAACACCTGAAATACATCACGCAAGCCAGCATCCTAAGATAATCATGAGCAATAGTCTAGGCAAGAAGGAGTACAAGCGACCTCAAACCACGGAGCTGCCTTGGGATGAAGACGGCCAAGTTCTTTCAGCACATACTTCACATTGGTAAACTGGTTCGGAGACATTCGGCATTTCCATCCTTTTTTGCGCAGAGCACCATGTGGCTCAGTAACAAGAAGCTTTTGAATAAAAAACCGAATCTTCAAAATATTTCCGTGACACTCTTCCGATGGGGCAGCCCAGAACGCCGTCCTTGCTTTCGCGGCTAGATCTGGGGTTCTTTGACGAACAACTCCCGCTTTGAGAAATGAGCTTATGCGTTACTTGTCAATTATGAGCAGTCTTGGAAACGATCACAAACGGACATGCCAGGCCAACCATCCCATCGAACACATGCCAACTCATGTTGATGGCCAACTGACTGGATTAGAGTGAGTCGAAAATGATGGATCACCCGTGAGTAGTAGTTACCTGAGCAGAGTACCACGCTCCTCTGTACCTTGCGATAACTTGCGTGTCTCCGCAACTTGGTGCCTGGTCATCTTTGGATAGAATGTCCTTCTCCGATAGGTGGTTCAAAGCCATGCACTCCTCTGAAAATGGAGGTCTTCTCTGTGAGTGGTTTCTGTCCACTATATATGTAGAGAATTTGGATGGGTTGAGTGGGGCCAAAGGCACAGCATCTACGGAGTTTATCTGTGTCAGGGTCCCAAAGTGAAGTCGGACTGCAATGCCTTGTTGCCACCGCCAGTAGTCAATTCACACCACTATCTTGTGAGTCACTGTGCGACAGAGGGTAGAACGTCGCATGTCAACGGTCACAACAGTCAATAAGCTGTCACCATGGCAACGCCTAAGTTGGGGTACAAGGGAAGGTTTCAGAAGTACCCATTATTCAAGATCTCAATGTGTCATGTCCAACACGAGACACACGTATTGTTGTTCCAGGGGCCTATAACTCTTGGGGGCTGCTCACACCATGGCCGGTGGGGACGCGATCATTGTCACATCGTACATACTTTCCCGAGAAGCTGGAAGGCTGCCAAGCTTTGATAAGAGCTAATGGCAATGTCAGAGGCTATGTACTAAAAACACCTTCCGCGTGGAAACACGTGGGCGAGATCTTTTATAAAGCACGTAGGATTGCCGAGCTAATCTATCTCCCTTGTTCGTGCCGTACAAGGTGGCATTGGGAGACTAGTCACAGGGGCTCGTGATGAAACACTCTCCAGGGTTTCATTGATAGTGTCTGTTCTCAAACGCATAAAGCAACAGCGCCTGCTGCTTCTACGCTCGCATATCATTCCTTCACCCATATTGAGCTCCAGACAACTATTCGATGTGCTCTCACATTCCGCAAGCTGAGATCGCTTCTGTCTTGGACTCCCAGGAAGGTCCGCTTGACGACAGTTTGCTTCGGATTGACGAAGATTCACGGGCCTCGTCCACGCAGTGGACCGCAGAGTGCGCATTGTGCGTCCAGATGTCGTGGCGTCCTTGCTCAAATGCCTCTCACAGGGGTTAGCCGTTTATTTACCCTCCTTCTCCACCTTTGCAGAAATATTTGGTCGTGAGTCTCGGAAGATCGTTTCCGTATATGGGTCCAATATGACCATCGTTCGCGCCAGAACGTCGAGGGAAGCTCTCCTTCGCAGGACTACTCGGACTACTGGCCTGCAGGTGCACCAACCGCTACATTGGTATATTCTGGCAAGGATGAAGACAAGTTTTCGAGCACGCATTGTGTGTCACAGCTCTCCTTTTCCGACACACACTTGCCAGCCGCTTGGAATTTACCGGCAATGTCAAATGACGACGACTTCCTTTCAGCAAGTACGCTAAACTGTACGGCTTTGCAAAGCACACATTGCACATCTGCGCTAGAGGAGATAGGCTGTGTGGATGCTAAGGACCTTGTGACTAAGCCCCCAAAGAAGACTCGGCGTGAGCGCTTAGGCAGGACGCGTGAGAAGCTCTACACGTGCGATGTAAGTTACTGCATCCTTCATCGCAGCCTTCAATGACCAGTATCTAGGTTCCGGGATGTGCCAAGACTTATACCACTAAATCCGGTCTTGCAAAACACACGACGACCGTGCACAAAATTTTAAGTAAAGCCGCACGCTGAAATGAGGTTAGCTCACATACAGCATGTCACGCCAACATTGTCTCTGATCACAAGGAGTTGGGCGAAGAACGCTCATATGCGTTGATCTTACGAGCTTTCCTTCTTTCCTTTGTTTACTGCCGGTAGAGCTTATCATCTCCCGTTGAATACTGTTACTCTCTTGGACATATGTCATTTTTGACCAAAAAGCCATTTGTTGCACCTTTCTTGCCACTCCAGGAGAAAATTGACAAGTTCACAGCCCTTGTCACTGCCACGGTATAGTCATCGTGAATGTTTTACCCTCAACAAACGAGGGGGTGTCGTAGGAATGTTATGGAGACATATGCTTTAAGAACAATTGAAAGCTTGATCTAACAATTACTCTGCTTTGATAGCGTTCTAGTCTCATTGCGCGACAAGAAACTGCTCTCCAACAATCTATAATTCGCTTCGGCACTTTGAATTCCAATGACATCTGACATTCTGCGTTGCACTTATCCCACAAGCACAGATACTTGGTGTCCAATTCACCGTGTTAGTCTGAATCGAGACTTGTCACCACATAAAATCAGCGAAATGAGCTCGACTCTTGGTTCACCACCTTTGCATCGTTGCACAACTTGAACTACGCAACTTGAAGCCATTGCTCCTCTGCATTAGGACTTTTGCTGACATTACATATGTTGCCTCTACCACGAAGATCTGCGCCGAGCGTGTGCCTTGGTGATGCACCATTGTTTGCTATACTTTTTGCAGAGAAATTCCGTGATGGTCTCACTGGTGATCAAGAGACTAACGAGTGAGGAACCGTCAGGATACCCTTTATGCTAAGCTAGAGCGACTGAATGTATGCAAGTCCCAAAGAAGCTTCTGAATTGGCATAACCGATGACTCCTATCCTAACTCACTACGGACGATCTCGTGAGCTGCATACGTAAGAATCTCCTGGCAACCGGCGAGTTCGAAGTACGGCTATATTCCGTATTCGACAATAGGTGCATTATGAGCAGCACAATTCATACATATGCGTAAATAGACCATCGTGCATGCTCCGTCACCTACGCCGTTTTGGTACGTGTGGCACTCCTGACTTCCGTAGCAACTAAATTTTCAGGATAAAGGCGACGTGTTTCATAAGGTCACCAATGTCACCCATGTTCCCGTGTAGTATTGCAACGTTCAGGGGCTGGACAGTTGTCACGCCCTGTTGCTGCATCTGGCCCTCGCAGGCGATGGATACGAGCTGAACACCTGGAACGGTAATAGCATCATTATTATTTGGGTCTCGACAACAACCAAGAGCATCGAGCTCTCAGCAACTCATCCGAGCGCACAGGCATTTGCACCCATCCAAACATATCACCGCCTTTGTACAAACGATCCTGTCAAAAACCAAACCAAGCCCAGAGATAACGGCCTTAGCATTATACTATGTGTACAAGCTCAAACGTGAAGCGTGCGCCGACGGTTGCCTTCAAAGCATACGGATGTTGGCCGTAGTTGCCTTGATGTTGGCCAACAAGTAAGCCCTCATCCTCCCTGCCTTATCAGCAACGTTCGCTAAGGGCCACAGATGCTGTAATGACAATGCACACCAAAACCGGACGTGGTCTTACCTGTCCGGTCTACCCCTAGACACTATCAACCGGGCAGAGAGGGAATCCTTGAATGGAGTTCGTCATAATCTTTCCATCAACCGACCGACGTATGATGAATGGCTGAAGACGTTGAACAGTTTGACGTTGTCGAGGAACCGGGAGGTTAGGTTGTGCACACTCATCGCCCGTCGGTCACTTTCATCAGAGGTATCTTCGCCACCCTCACCGTCCCTCATACCACATATCCTGGTCCGGACGCCATACAGCCATGTCAAAGGGCACAAGTCACGTGTTGCCGTCATCAACAAACGCTATGATTCAAAATACCTGGAAAACAAGGCAAGCCTCGCCTTCGGCGGTAGTGCGGTCGTGATTTGGAAGCTTAGTCATTGACGGAGTTTGCGAGTGTGTGACATGTGCCCAGGGCAGACAGACAGTGTATCTATGAAGAGAGGAACGTAGTGTTACATCGCTGGGCGGAACGATGCTGCCACGCCGTTACACGTGGCTTTGCCCATCCGGGTCCGCAGCGCACGGCCCCGGTGAGCGTGCAGTCCACTCGATGGTCGAACGCAAATAGAGATACAATGAAAAGCAAGCATGGAAGCCTTGTGCAATATCCGGGACCGGGTCCCATGACATCTCGGCTGGGATAACACGCCTTGAAAAACAGAAAGTAAAAAGGAAAAGCCACGAGCGGCATGAAGAAAAGAAAAGAAGCAGCAGCGCGGCTGGGTAGGACCCACTTGCGGTGCTTGGGACAGAGTCCAATGGCAACGCGGTTGGGAAGGACCCACTTGCGAGGCCCGAATAGAAAGAGAAACGAGAACGGAAACCAAAGTGAGAGCAGAAAGAGAAATGAGAACGCAGACCAAAGCGAGGAAAGAAGCAGCACCGCGGCTGGGTAGGACCCACTTGCTGGACAGAGTCCAATGGCAACGCGGTTGGGGAGGACCCACTTGCGAGGCCCGAAAAGCAAGAGGCACTATCTAATGCTGGCAGCCTCATCTCCAAGTCTCTGGCCTGCAGACAGTGACGCGCACTGGCACCCGCACACGGGGGGCGCGACTCGAAACGACGAACGCGAGCAGAGAAGGGGACCATACGACCAGCAGCTATTTGTACTCAGCGCCATTGCGAAAGGGATCAATTGAGGCCATTCAAGGGCACCATGCCGAAACATGACGTTCCGGATCAGACGAAGCCGCCCGGAAGTAATTTGGAGAGAACGAGCACGTCCACTACCGGCGAGAAGGAGGCAAAAGGCAACGGTGTGCTATTCTACTGTCGAATCTCGTGATACCGCATAATGTACAAACTATCTGACGTAGCTCTGACGCCCATAGACCCTGAGCTGCTCTTCTCTTGTCCGTGCACTATCCAGCTCATCTCCATCCAAGCAGGTCGCTTCGTCTCCGTTGCTGCTCGACCCACACACTGGACCGCCCGGCTGATGGTCCGGAAGACCAATGTTGGAGCCGGCGGAGTCATCTCCGCATTGCTGAGGCCCTGGTGAGCGAGCCGGCGGAGCATCGAGAGAAGCAGACCTGTCCGTTCCAAGCCTGGTGAGGGGACAACTCTCGGAGTCGGTGGCACCGTTGTCTGCTGCCTCAAAGGGGGGCGGATGAGGGCTGTTTAGGCTGGCCTGTCCGTGGTCGCTCAGCTGGAAGGCTGCGTCCTTCCAGGCCCATTCGGCACCAGTCAACGGCACGGATTCGGGTCCCGTGAGGCCGTCCGGGGCAACTTGATCCTTGTCTCCTTGGCCCCAGACATCGTCTCCAAATAAGGAGACCACGTCCGGCAGTTCCAGCCACTGACGCTCACCGCCTTCCGTCCGCGGCGTGGAGCTGCTGCCGTCGTCCGGAGTGAATCCTCGGGTCGTCTCCAACTCGGGAAGCCCATTGGTAGGGTCCGTCGGGGAGGCATAACTCGGGAAGAAAGGGTCGAAAAGATAACTCGAGTTGCCGCCGGGCCGGTGGATCCACAGCAGATACGGTACTGGCCACCGGTACCTAACCCTAACGCTGACCTGCGGCACGGAAGGAATGGACTCCCCATCTTTCTTCCTTACGGACTTTACGCAGTGACCCGTCAGCCTCGCTGGCCTGCGAATGCCCTGTCCGGGGAAAGATCGCATCAGAAGCTCGCATCAGAAGCTGTCACGGCATGCAGTGCGGCAGCCGCCCATCAGAACGCCGTGTTCGTGATCTGGAAACGCCGCGCGCTCCAGCCCTCCGCGCTTCCCGCAGCGCCCCAGTCCGTCTTCTTCCCGTTAGTGGTGCATGCTGTCGAGGCGGAACCTTATGTATCCCCGGTAGCAGCCAATCATGAACATTGTGAACAAAATTTGAATGACTCTAAAACGTTCGACAGCTATCCCGCCTTTGGTTATCTGCTTGAATTATATTTGGGTGTGCCGCAGATTTTGATCCCGTCAATCTGGGGTGGGGGTTCTAGGCCAGGAGGACGTGTGCTCAGATCACACAGAATTTCTAAAAGTCTGTTTTCGCCCTTGTGATGGGATGTGACGAAGCCTTCTCGTGGGTGGAATGTCATGTATACCGACACCTTGTCCTCACAATCGTCATTTTGGCATTGAAAGCGATGCTGCGCCTCTTGCCCCTTGACCTGGCTCGCTGTCTTCCCCTTCCGCTTCATGTTCACGCCACAACGCGGGCAGCGCATATCTTCCGTCCTCCCGGTTAAGTTGCGGTTAGGAGCACCGTCCGTGAAGCGCAACGCGCCTTGTGGACAAATCGCCACGACATCGTAACCGCATTCGGCGAAGTCCGACGAGAATAATGCTTGTATGACCGCTTCCCGCCACGCGTGGTTCTGGAACAGTGCCTTGTCTAGAAAGGGTATGACAATTTTTTCTGTAGCCTCTCGGGGATTAAAGAGAGGTGCGATGAATGCAATAGTGACATGGAAGAAGTGCCTATGTATCAACCTGGTCGTTATATGCTCGCGCAGCTTCCAATAAGGAGGACCGACCTTATTTCATACAGACTTTCTGGTGCACGCCTGACAAGTCCTTCGCAACAAAGGAACAGGCCAACCGCTTTACCAAAGATCTGAAGAGGATTCCAATCGTCGAAGATCGCGTTCAGTAGCTGTAGAAAACGATGAGACCAAGAAAGATATTGTGGTGAACCGCGGCACACCAACCGTCTTTGGACCTCCCCACAAAACATCAGGAAGGCCCAGAAGCAATTCGCCCGTCCGCGGTTCTGCATGTGTATCCACAAGGACTACTAGTCTAGCCGATGGACCATGGCTACAGGATTTCAGCATTAGTCACAATAACAGCGGAAGTGCGCGCACAGAAGCCGAAACGACAATAATTCTCTCAGTAAGGCCTCCCGGAGATCCAGCAGCGCGTCACAAGGCTTAGAGCTTGACTGAAATCTTGGTCCACTATCAGATAAGATTCCTTCGAACACCTGGAAGCGAGTCTTCTAGCTCAAAACTGAGCGTGTGAAAATGCATACGAAATATAACTTAACCAACCTCTTTGGGGTGAGCGAAATAGTCTTCGAGCAAATTGGCTACTTGTCTTGCAGAATAGTTCAAGCGAGAGTAGCTGTCCCCAGGGTCTTTCCAGCGCAAGGCAAAGAGGAAGACGGGATCAGAGCAGGAGTGTAGGTCGCCCCACTTGCCGCCTCCTTGCCGAACATTATACTGGTGTCATGTAAGTGGGGATTCATGTCACTACCTTGAAACCTGACGCACCTGGATTTTGAAGTGTCGAGCCCGCGCACACCGTATGCAGAGAAGGGGACTCAGTGCGCGTGCTTGTCCGATATCGAGATCCGCACAACCCCTCTTTAGGTCAGTATTGATGCAGAACAAGCCGCTACAATCGGCGCAAGAAACAAGCGCTGACTGTTTCCGTAGCTGGTGGCAAACTCCACATCTCTGCATGGAATCTTCTTGTAAGTCATTTGTCGACGAATAGTCAATATCACTTACTAATGACCCTGTCGTGCTTTGTGCTGTAATCTCGGGGCGGTCAAGTTGCGTGTGCCAGTATTGGATCCAGAGACGAAGCGCACAGCGCCTTCATTTCCATTCAGCATGAGTGTTGAGAAGGTAGGGAAGTAATCTTACATAAGGTCATGTTCGGGAACCCTTCGTGAATTCTTCCATACGTTCAGGCTGCTTCCAGACCGATTGACACCAGAGCGCAGGTTCGTTGATACATTTTTGGGGGCCCGTCCTATGGCGTACCAACGTTCCTTTCATGGCACTTAATTCCAATTCACGGTAAGTGAGCTCAGTGCTCACCCCAGAGTTGCTCTCGACGGCATGCCTGAGGATAGTTTGCCCTTCCACGAGAAGCGGGCGAGGCGTTTGTGACTCTTTCCAGGCATTCCGCAGTGACCCCGCACTGATATCATGCTCTCTACTTGACACACAAGTTTCAATAATAGCAGCGTGGGTGACAACATCTCTCACGCTTCCTTGTATGAACATTCTTCAAGCATGTCCTCGCCCACGTGAAGGAGATAGAGCACTGTGCGGACTCCCTAGAGGAGCTGTGAATGACCGGAGAAGCTCATAGGGGAGGATTGACCCACCTTTTTCTTGGAACCTCCATTTTCAAAGAGTGTGCAGTCCCTTTGTGAGACTCCAAGAAGAGTATGCATGAGTCTTGCTCAGCGTACTGTTGACTTTCCCGGGAAGGCGAGAATGATGGTACGCCGTCCGTCTCCAACCTGTATTTATGCTACTGGGCTGCTTTATCAATCCCATGTTTATCTGAACCCTTGCATATCTTCCGTAGAGGCTGCCGCATCCGAAGGAAGCAGGTCTCGTTGCTGTTAATCACGGAAGTTTGACGCCCGCCGAAGTTTGGGTTTTCAACTGCTGAATACACTCAATTCATTTCACGTCCGAACTGCCCGTCGACACAAAGCCATGAACGTATTTGTGGCCCTACGAATACTCCGTCTTTCAAGCTGCCATCGCGGTGTGGAGCTAAAAAGATACACGTCCTTTTGAAGGCATAGACGGGCTTAACCGAGAACATTTCAAGATACGAGGCGAGGGGAAAGGGATAATCCTTGCCCAGCCCAGACCGATGTGATCAGCTCCGTGTTTCCACATCATTGAACGCAATCTGCATAGAAATTACGTGTAGAGACAAGCATCTGCCATACCGGAAAGGAATTACACTTTCGTGATACGTAAACAGTGGTTGTGGGTATATGGTGCACGCGATTCCTTAACCTTATTGCACTCACCGCTCAACCGACCAGTCAAAAGCCTACGCTACCGCCCACGACGACCGATGGAATGTGGCGTGGGCAGAATCCATGATAATCCTTGACGAGCGAGAAGACGGACTGGGGCGCTGCGGAGCGGAGGGCTGGAGCGCGCGGCGTTTCCAGATCACGAACACGGCGTTCTGATGGGAGGCTGCCGCACTGCATGCCGTGACAGCTTCTGATGCGAGCTTCTGATGCGATCTTTCCCCGGACAGGGCATTCGCAGGCCAGCGAGGCTGACGGGTCACTGCGTAAAGTCCGTAAGGAAGAAAGATGGGGAGTCCATTCCTTCCGTGCCGCAGGTCAGGGCCTGCCGGACGCATCTGGTCCTTGGTTTGTCTGAGACAAGACCGTCGGCGTTTGGATCCGTGATTTCCGATGTGCACCCACGTGGGGTTCGCCACTCGTTGCGTTGCTTTCCGCGAACAGTGACGCTCCTGTGGGAGTGCCCAATAGGGTGAGATAACGCATCAGACGTTCTGTGGCGACGGGGCGCCGGGTCATGGGAGCGTTCTCCTGGGCGGCGTGAAAGGCGCATTCTGAGGGAGAGAGTACGCTTTCGAGGGCGATTAAGGCATCGTCGGATGATGTAATAAACGGGACCTACTTCTTCATTCAAGGATCCAAACGGCATGATCTATTGAATATGAGCAAGCGCACACTCTTATCGTTGAGATGAAAGCATCTACAATGATTCAATGATTATCCAGTCCACCAAGCTTAGCGAAGGGGCCTATGCCAAGACCCAAAGAAGAGCCGGTCGGCTCAAGTTGTGTCTCATACTGTGTTTTTCCATAGACGGTCGAGAGCGTTAGGTTTCGTCGAGTGGCAGCATGGGTTATTAAGCGGCGCTTAGCATAGGGTCACCAGGAACGAGAACTGATACGGCCACAGCGAGGTTGAGGCTATCCTGGTGAGACCATGAAGTGCAACTATGGTTCCACACTATCTCTTGGGGAACTATAACACATGGGGGTGGTAGTGCAAGCTTGATCGAGAGTGTAGTGTTGACTGCATGAGGGCCGTAGTGAATGTTGTGTTCGAACCGCAGTCGTTGGGTGGCATAGCGCTGCACGAGCAACTTTCCAGCGCGAGACCGGAAACGTCCCCGAGGCATGACGGCTCTTTATCTTGCCTGTTTGGAGTTGCACAATAGGGGTGAGAACGCGTCCCGTGCGAGCCGCCTTGCACTTTTTTTGAGTTTTATGACAGCAACGCGTGACTTGGGATCTTTGTGACGATACACGGGGCCGCCATCAGCCACCGTCGGGATGTATCGCTGAAGCGGTGTCCTGACCGGGAGAGGTCGTTTGATAATGGGTGACAACGACGGGGCCACATCCGCTGGAGAAAAACTCAGGCCATGCAGCATACTCATACCAACCTCTCGGCTCCTCGCCAGACTCAAGCTAATCAACGTTTTCACCCATGCATCGTAGGTCGGTCGGTTGACAGAGATATTGTAGCCAATCCCGTTCAGAAATTCTCTCTCAGCACGGTTGATGTCCTCCAGCGACATTCCCGAACATTCAGACCAGGCTCGGTTTGTGTAGGTGTTATCATCCCAACATCTGACACGCATCTCTTAGTATGGGTTATCTAAGCCAAGTGAGGTGAGCACTCACTTGTTCGCCAACATCAAGGCAATTAGGGCCAACATGGCAGTATCCTGGGGAGAACTGTCGGCGATAGGCTCATGTTTAAGCTTGTACACATAGTATAACGCTAGGGCGGTCATCGCTCGCATAGGCTTGGTTTTTGATATGATCTTCCGCATAAACGTCCAGACATCTTGAGAAGGGTGCAAGTGAATGGGTACTGGATTCTCTTGAGAGCTCGATGCGACCTGTCGTCGCTGTGGATGACTTTGAAAGCCACCGATTGAAGGGGTGTGCCATATGTAGCATAACATGTTACAAACGTTGCGGGAAAGGGTAAAATTGTGCTTGGGAGAATTCTTGGGAAATGGCCTAGTCCAGAACGTGAGCGTATACGGGACGGAGAGCAATGGTAGCGGTGAGTGTAATGAGAGACAGGGTGTGCCTACCTTCTCCTGCCGAGCCAAGGGAGTGCTCATGATTTTCGCGACTGACTTCTTCGGTACCAGGAGGGAAAGCTCGTGTACGGGAGCAGGACGGCCGGATGGGAAGCGAGAGGGGCTGGGATCTCAGGGCTTGATAAAGTATGGGCTCCAAACCCAGACAGAGTGTGGCAAACTGCGACTTTGTTCACAGTACCAGTCAGTCGCCACTCGGGAATACCACGAGCGAGTCATTTGCCTATTACGCTTTACCTCCCTCTCGCTACCCCGTGAAGAGTCTGACACAGAGCGTAGACGCCGCACAACATCCTGCGGATAGCCGCTTGTTGTTAGTATTGCTAGGTCTCCGCCATTCCTCCCGCCGCGTTCCTTAAACCATCTGTAGGTACCTTAGCAGTCGTCTTTCAGCGCATTGCCTGTGCTAAGATTGTACTACTATGGCCTAAAGAGGTTCATTCATAGTTATCAAAATGTATGGTCAGTGGTGGCTCTACTCTCAATGCGCATGTCCACGAATCCTTGCAGGCAAGCCACGTCTGGAGGTAAGACGGGCTGTAGAAGTTCTCAGGCAGTCCACTGATGAGCCTGGGTGAGCTTATGAAGCCTTCATTTCTGATCCGCGGTCGTCGACCGTCCCTCCGATGGGCCTTGGCGTACAGGTATTTCACGACCCTCTCATCAAGATAGAAACGGAGCCTATCGCATGCTTCAGAGTATTCGGGTCGTTTTTTTGCTCTAAGGCAACCGGATTCGCTTTCTTTATCGGAGGACATTCCTTGTATCCCCATTGTGTCCAAGAGAGTCAAGACCGCGTGTTCTTTTGCAACCCTTCGGCGCCTTCTAAAGAGCTGTGTGGAGTGTTAGTGACGGGTTGAAATATTAGTGGATCGCACCTGTCGTTTTCTCTCATAAGCGCTCTTGGCTGCCCTCACTTCCCCAATTGGTCTACCTTCCCGAGCAGTCTTCCAAGCGTGTCGTTGACCCTTATAAAACAATGTGAAAGATGACTTAAACACTTCGTAGGAGGGAAGAGGAAGAGACGGAAAGTTTGTGATTTCCCTAGGTTCCTGGCCGTTTAGTTTGACTTGAATGGCTTTCCAAACCAAAACCATCATGCGAGTATTCCATCTGTCATGAAGACCATCTTGCCATCTCATGCCAAAAGGACGGGAGGGATTAGAAAATAGGCTATCGGGTAGTTCACCTGGCTGTTCTATGCAATGTGCCCATTCAAGAGGGTCAAGCCTGTTTCCTTTGACGTGCACAGCAAAGAGAAAGCGCATCAGCATCTGCTTGCTTGTGTTAATAGTCGTCCATGTCTGTTTTGCGGTTGATGACCCACCTCCCATTCTGGGATCTCCCTGCCTTTCCGCGGTCCCTGGCTAATATCAACGAGCCGGCAGGGGGGAGGACCTGAAATTAACATACTGTGCTTCCCCGTGCTGGAACAAGGTCGGAATTGGTTGTTGAACTCCGTTTCTGCTGGGCTATCACACTGAACACCGCGGGACCATTGTTACTGACGGTTTGATTTTCCAGGCTGATGGACTTCCTGCTGTCACCCGTCTCGGCATTGGCGAGATTGGAGGCAGCGACTGACACCAATTCGGGGATGCTAAGACACACTGCTTGATGTTCATCATCTCTGGAATCTGTTATTGGCGTATCGTCCCTGTCAGGGCAGCTCATTGGTCTCCGTAGCCGGATGAGGGGACCTAAATCTTCGCTCTGGGTTTGGCAATCAGGCGTCGTGAGAGCATCCAATAATACGTGCACTTTCTTACCTCGCTTTCCGAGGGGTTTTGCAGTGCTACACTCACTGTTTGTTCCGGTGCTAACGCGCCCCCTTGTGTTGATAGGGATGAACGCTGGGTATAGAAGACGTGCTCCTTGAATCTCCGCCTCCTCGTTGTCCAGGTATGTTTTGGCCGTGAGAGCTGTTGGTGAGTGCGGGACCTTGTGAACATCAAGGGGGGAATCGCGGTGAGTTCGCTACCAGTTGGCTGTTGACGTGGTTCCCTCTGGCTCATCTTCCCTAAGCCTGCACTGAGTTCCGCTGCCTTGGAATCATTGTTTAATTCTGTTTGCGCTCTGTCGCCAGCGTCTAGCGCTTGCATCACGCCAACAGTAGACAAATTTTCTCCTTTATTGGCCGTTGACAATAAGACGGGTAGTGGGTTTATGGACGGCGCACATACTGTGCTTTCGATTAAGGCACGCCGTAGCTCTTCGTTGTCTTCTTGGACACGTTTCAACACCTCCCGGAGCTCGTTGTTTTCTCCCATGAGGATCATCCGCTCTGTGTTGAATTTGGCTACGGCATCCTCAAGGTCTGCCGCGCTCCTGGTGTCCCGCTCGTTGATCTCCGCCTGTAACCGGCGCGCGTCGCGCGTGAGCAACCTTATCGCTTCTTCATATTGGCTGGCTTCTCGTTGTGATTTAGCCGTCAGCCTTCTCATTGTCCGGCTTCCGCTCAACTCTCGTGCTTCACTTTTCTTTACCCGCTCTTCAAGCTGTTTTTGGCCAGCGCAGAGACTGCTTTTCTTGTTCAACAGTCTCTCCACCTCCTGTTGTGCCAATACCTTTGCAAATTCGACGTCTCTCAAAGAATTTTGCAATTCCTGGCAAAAGAGAAGAGTTTCATCTAGCTCTGCCGAAGCTTTCTTCAGTTCTTTCTCTTTCTCCATCAGTGCATCGGTAACTTGATCCCAGGACTCTTGTAGCCTTTCAAGAGAGGCCGTAAGCTCTTCAATCTGCTCATGATTACGAGGTAGTGGCGGCATCTCGGGATACAAGTGACGAAAAGGACTCCCGGCTTAGGTTGGTTCTGGTATCTGGGCGATGGTGAACCTCTTAAGAGAGGCTCTGCATTCGTCTTCCTACGGTACTTTCAGTGTTGGATCTCACGGGTACTTGATGTGCGCATTCAAGTGTGGTGTGTGTGCGCCGGGACAGGGTGCGTCCCAAATTGAGTACCAGACGGATGGGCTTATAAAGATGACCAGCAGGACGGCACCGGTCTACGACAAAAGGAAGGACCGTTTCCTCGGCCACCGGTACTTCGCGTTGCGGTCGGTGTTTGTAATCCTCCCAAGAAGAGAATAGGGACTGGCGTCAGGTACATCATAGTCCGCCAACGGCCCCCAACTGTATCATATGCCCACAGTCAGCAGAAGAATGTTGATGCAGCGTTGATGCTACTGAGATGAGCAACACCAGTCTGCATCACCAGCGGGCACCAACGCTTTAAGCGCGGAATATTTCACATTTTGTGGTGCAAAGGCCAATCAGAGCCAGTTTGACATAGGAGGACGAGCGATCAGGGCCGTAGTTGACGCTGGCTGGTTCTTGGAAAGTAACAATAATCGGGGAAGCTTTCCTACTGGCCCTACATTACTCCGTTTACAACGGAGCATCTACTCGAATAGGCATCTATTTCAGCCGTTATCTACGAATAATAGCGCACAACAATCCCGCCAACTCAGTGACCAGATTTGAGAGTCTGTAACTCGGCTTTGTACTCGTCGACTGCCGCATCGTAACCACAATCCCCTTTGGCGACTGTCCCAAGTCCGAAGAGAAAAAGCACGTGACATGTGATGAGATCACGGCGAAAAGCAATATAGCGTTCAGCTAGCTCTTTCCCGTCACCATGGCCCATAACTTCATCACTATCCCTCTTCCCGTCGTCCCCACCAGGCCGTCGTCTGTACTTCTGCAGGATGGCTCTCACAGTGACAAGTGTGTCATCCATTCTGACTTGTTTTCGGGACGCGTAACGATTATACTGAGCATTCTTGAGTAAGGAGGACCATAGAATGCTCCACACGAATACTTACCCGGAGCAAGTGAGTGGAATCTTCCACCAAGTATTCGGGGACCAGCCACCGTTGGAGAGTGAGTGGGCAGAGTACAATTGGCCAACGGGAGTTGCTCGCTAGACGCGCCAGATAAGAGAGCCTTATAACGTAAAGTTTTCTGCGATCGTTTGATCTCCCCTGCCCAGTCTATCGGGGATGACACGCCTCCGACAACATCAATGGTAACAACGAACATATGATCACCACGGACACTCTTCACGTTTCGTTACCAGGAAACGGTCGTTCAATCTGCCTTGCCCCCCTGATTTGCCTTCTCGGGATTGCTTAGTGTTGGCATGGAAGCTTGTGGCAGCACCAAAAGCCTGGACTTTCTTCCCGCCCCGCACCCAAACACACTCCCTATTCCAGCACAAATCCCAGGCCTACAGGCCCTTTTCATGCCTCTACCTCCACGCATGGCCCTGCTCCAAAAGTCAAGTGGACAAAGGAGCTGTGGGCCTCCTCCCTATTTTACCTCTGGCCGTAGTTCGGAAATCCACGCCGGTCTTCTTTGTAGAGAGCACCAGGAAGGAGATCATTGCATCTTGTCTTCGTTGCAGAGGTGACTTCAGGGAAGAACATAGCCAGATAAGGCCAATGCGGAAGAGTTGGTTTGGAGATTTGCAATAATGGGGAAGACAACCCGTTGTTTCCCCCGTACGGCCATAATGCTGACAAGGATCAGAGGGATAAGAGATAAAGGCGGCTTAGACCCTAGTCTTACGTGCATGTGCTCTGTGAGATCGGGCTTATCACATCTGATCTTCGTCCGCTTGATGATGGGCTTAGTTCAGGAACGCGTTTGCTGTCAAACATAAACGATAATCTAAAGAAGCGATGACATTACAAGGAAAGGAATAAGCTCCACGTGAAGTGAGGCGGAGGATACGGATGGCGCTTGACAACAGACACGCGTTTTTTGCTATTCACACTCTTGAAGCGAAATACGATTGGCTGCCATGCCCTCAATTCCAGCAAAGCCACCGTTTGTCAGGATGACATCTTGTTCAATGGTCTGTGCTGTGCCGCGTGCCTTGTAAGACCAGACTTTCCGGCATACGTCGTGGAACAACCCGGAAACTAGATCAGGGGTCAGTCAGTAGTTCAACGAAAAAAGAGCCATGCTAGCCTGGCACTTGTAGGGCTTTACACCCCAATTTTTGGAAGGCGTGCGAATGGTTTTGTTGGGGGCTGTACTGATGAGATCCGTGGGATCCGCACACCGTGTCTCTTCCGACACAGACAGGCTATCCAGGCTCCCAGAAAGCATACGGCTCGGCGCACTCTGTCTAAAAATATGACTATTGTCATACGTTACTTCCGGGACCTGTGGGGCCCAGACCAAACTTATTGGGCAGTACGGGAGTTGTATTCCCTGGTCTGTCGTCAACAAGCTCGCATGGTCGACCGAGAAAACAGAGGCGGGTGGTTCTTCTGAAAGAGAAGACTGCGCGTGATGCGCCTAGCCACGAGTGCAACATAGCAGAGCAGCCGGGAGCATGCTTGGCAGGTAAGGTGGCAAAAAAGCCATGCAGCGCGCGTATAGGTATGCCGTATTTGTCTTTCCTTTTTTTTTTTTTTTTTCCATTTGACTGACTCCTTTCTTTAGCGCGCAACAAAAACGTGGCCACCCAAAAGGTCAAACTCTGATTGTGTACTCATCCTTATCGTCCTTGTACCGGTCACAAGACCTTATCCATCACCTTCCCCTTCCCAGGGCTCAACCCCACACTTTAGGCAAAAGGGCAGCAGTCTGAACCGACAATAGCCAGGTCATCCACCTCACGCGAGTCGTAGTCACGTAAACGACTCACAATGCTTTTGTGAAGAGAAACACTCGCATTACAACTCCTGTTTCCAACAACTCCGCGGCCTGTGAACTGGAGTCCGGAGCTACACGTGCGTGAGCTTGTTCCAGCGCCGAGCTTATGTGGGGTGCATGCCTCCGTCGGCAGGAGAGATGGCTGCCGGGTTGACTTCAAGAGTCTTAGATGCAGGGCTCACCGGCACGGATGCACATTCACCGGACATGAATGTATGTTGGAACCCTGCAGGGTTTCCTCTCTTGGGCTCGGCGGGGGCCGCCATAGACGTCAGCCCTTTCAGCTCAGCCATATGATCGGGCGAGGCGACCCTTTCACAATAACCAGTCAGGTATGACTGATCCAAGACAAGAATACGAAAGGTTGCATCACAATGAGAGCATTGTGAACGCAGATGCGGTGCGGGCGGTAAGGCGGGAAGCGGGATGACAGAAGAATAGGAGTCTATTATTGCACAGCCAACTACAGGCCACCCAGGCATCCATGACGACACAGGAAAACGCAAGCAAAGCGCAACAGGCATAGAGGGGGAACTGAATAGAATGAAGAGGAGAGTTGTATGTGCGCGTCGATTTTGAACTTGGGTGGTAAGAAGTCCGGCTTTTTTGTTGTAGGAGGGCATACGATGGTATTGAGGACACAGAAAGGACGACGCATTCGGATTGGATGAGTATGAGAAGAGATAAGCAGACAAGAAACAGTGGGACCAGGCGCAGGATATCGTTGTATAATGTGGAGGCGAAAGACTTGCGGGGACAAGGAAGGGAGGTTGAGCCCCCGAGATCGGGATAGGCATGAGCGGCGTGAGAGAGAAACGCTGGGCCTTCACAGGGGAAAGAAAATAGAACTATGTACAGGCAGCCTGCGTGTTCGTGCGTGTGTGGTCGAAGCGAGGCTTCGTGAGATCGTAGATCGTGTCGTCGTCGCTGAGAAGAGCCCGAGTCGGCTCGATTTGATTCGGTACGTAGACCGAGGTTACATGTCAATATGGAAGAGTGAGATCCAATCGTGAGATGATCAGCCTTGAACCTGGCCCAAGCCCCGGCCAGCAGAGCTATTTCTGCTCCCTGCCGTCATTGGCGGGGTGCCCATATCGTTTGGTCCTCGAAAAAAGCAGTATTTTTGGAGGAATTCTTCGTACGAGCGCTCACTCCGGTCTAACCGGGGTGGGGGGCTCTGAAGGGGAGAAGATGGCATAGACTGCGTGGGACTGCCTTCGGAGGAGGAAGGTGGAGTCATCGGCTCCATGGTGAACAGCTTTCGCCGCTGCTGCGGTTGCTCACCCGTGGGAGCGGCACCGTTCACCGTAGTGCTGATCACGGGCGTAGCAGGGGTGGTCGTCGTCGTGCCGTCTGAAAGGGATAAATGTGGCGATCCAGGGCGAGGGGAAGCAGTCCGTGGGGAACCATCTGAGCCGGAGCCACTGCCCGCAAGCCTGGCTCGACGCTGTGCCAGCTTGGAAAGGTCCTCGCTTGACGAGCCTGGCGAGTTTGTTCCTCCTACCAGACGACGTGTCCCTGCACCAGGAAACGGCACAGGGATGTGCATCGGGCTAGCGGGGCGGGCTGGGACCAGCGAGGGGAGGCCGTTAGGAACGGTGCGTGGGGAAGCGGGTCTGGGCGTTGCGCTCCGGTCGACGCTGAGCGCTGGAGAACCAATCCGATTTATCGGGTTGGGAATGGAATTCAATGTTGCCAGTGTGAACACGGGCGCAATAGGAGCGCCATTCTCTTTTTCCCTCTCCCGTTCTGCCTTCTCGGCCTCGAACTCTGCACCCAGGCTGCTAGTGGGATGCAGAACCTCTTTCCTTGCTCCCGAAAACTTCTCCATCGCCGCTGCATTCGCCAGCTTCGACTCCAGCAAGGGCGGCGTATCACTGCCGTTCACGAGCTGCGCCTGTGCTTTCTTATCAGCCTCTTCCTCCCTCTCCTTGTCCTTGGCAAGGAATAACGAGGCTTTCGGTGTCAAATTTGTATGTTCCGACTTGGGTGATGTCGGTGGTGCATAGTTGAGCAACTTGAGGTTGAGCTGGTTGAAGGAATGGGAGCGTCGAGGAGGCTCAGAGACCGGGATGAACGTCGCCTGCGAGGCAGTAGACGAGCGAGCGACGGCCTGTGGTGTCGGGATAGGACCAGGTGCAGAAGAGAGCGCCGCTGTGCCCGAAGGAGCTGACGAAGGAGTATTTGGTGCCGATGGTGGGGCACGTACGAACCTCACCCGGTAATTTGCCCCGTCGTTGTTGTCCCACCATTCCTGGCCTTCGCTCCCATATCTGACGACGACAAACAATGTCCGGTCCTCGATCTTGCGCTCATAGTCTTCCAACCTGATCTGGAAACCGAATCGATCCCAGCCTTTGTTGTCCAGAGATGCGAAAGGCGAGTGGGAGGAGAAGGGTGGAGGGAGAGAGGGCAGGTGGTTGACGTACGTCGCCGAGACTTCAGAAACAGTCTGCCAGTCGTCGAGCGTGAAGCGCACAGCGATTTGCTTGTTGAAATTGATGTTGCGCACGATGACGGTCCCGCGCATGACAAGGGGATTTGACTGAGGAAGCAGTAACGACTCCAGCATGACCGGATATCGCGACATCTCGTCCTGCAAACGCAAGCTGGACGCATTAGGAACAGGTGATGTCCGTTCCGGGTCGAGGAGGACCTTGTCTCTTGGCGGTGGCGTCTCTAACCGGGGGAAGGTGAATGAAGCTGGCTTGGCGTCGTTCTCCGTCTCTGTCTCCGTGTCCTCCGGGGTTCCGTGGCTCACGGCGATGGGACGCTGTTCTCGCAGGAAGAGAACGACATGCTCCAGACCTTCCTTCTCGCCCGCGAAGTGTACGTTCTTTGGTACGTAGTTTGGAGTGGCAGGGGCGGAGATGGCGCGAGTGTGGCTGGGTAGGGAAGCGAGGTGTGGGGTGGAATAGGAGCGGGACTTGAGCGACGGCTTGAGTGGCCTGCCATTTTTTAGCGTGATGGGGGACGATTGGGGGGTAAATTTGGGTGAGGGTGGCTCTGGAGCAGACTGAGGGGAGGACGGTTCCGGGGTTGGCTCCACGGGGATTGGTGTAGGTGTGCGCTCTGGTAGGGACAAGATGGGCAAATGGGCGACGAGGGGTGGGGCAGGCTTTGGCGGGGCAGTCGTGGGGTCGGGAGATAAGGGGCCTATAGATGGGAAAGGTACGGTGGACGAGTCCACTAAGCTCTCTGCCACCTCGTTGGAGACTGTCTCCTCCGGTCCAGGAACGAGTCCGAGCGCATTATCTGGAGATGGGGAGTCTGCGCGGAGTGCTGCCCCCGGTATTGGAATTGGACTGGAAGTCCTGCGCGTTCGGACGCTGCTTCGCCTTGGGAGAGGAGGGAGAGGAGAGAAGGCGCCCTGAGTGCGTTCTTCTGTGAAGAACTGAGATGATCGCGAGCGTCTGTGATTTCGCGCGTATTGCCCAGGTGCTGGGGGTGGTGGTGGGCCTAGTGTAATGGTGGACGATGCCTCTGCGAGAGACATGATGGGACTGAATATAGGTGTAAGCACTAGGGTCATCGAGGAACAAGCAAAAGGGGGGAGGGTGAGACGATAAGGCTCGTTGAGAGAGGTAGAAGTGTTTGTTAAATGAGAAGCGAAATATGTGCAAACCTGTCCGGTCCCCGATAGCGTATGATTTATACAATGTAATGCTGTACCTTCCACGGACGAGTTGCTGATGAAGAACTTTGACAAGGGGGTGAATTGGAGAAGGGGGAGATGTTGCAGGATGAGGTGTGCGGAGCGGAAAGGGCGGAAGACGCGGAAGAGCAGTGAGCGCTCTCTTGTATCTCTGAGTTTGATAGTATGAACCCTTGTTGCTGATTTGATGTTACACCTGACTCGTGATCGTGTATTGCTGTGTAGAATGGTAACCCTCCAAAGATATGTGTAAGAGAAGAGGAGGGGGATATTGAGGGGGAGGAGGAGGAGGAGGAGGAGGAGGAGGAGAAGGGGGAGATGATGATGGGCTGAACACAAGGGGGAGAGAATGGTTTGATAAGCCGTCAGAGGTGATTATGGATTGGGGAATGCGCCACTCTAACCCAGACAATCTCTCGACGGAATCATCACTGCTCTCCTTCCCTTCTTTCTCCCATTTCTCTCCCTCTCTCTTCCCCCTTCTCTATCCTTGTCCACATTCCCCCAGGTCTCGCATAATATTACCCATACACCCCCACTCCAAGCCACACACCCCATCCCACAAAAATCTGCATCTTCTCCCCGTTCTCCATTTCAGTCCCCAGTCTAACAAATTTCAATCTCTCTTTTTTCACCCAAAATAACACCTCACCCCACACCGTCCAATCCCGGCACCGTTTCCCTTCCCGTGTCTTGTGTCCCACCCGATTATCCATCCTTCCCAAGCCCATTCTTCCCCCCTTCCCAAGTGTCTGGACTCGGCGGGCGATGACGCCCATCCCCACCCATTTGGAGTACCGGCGGCAACCGTCTCCGCTCACTCGGCCTATTTCAAGCCGCACACGGCCGCCCCCGGCAACTTCGAGCACGGCGGCTGTCGTCCCGGCCACTTTGACCCAAAACATCCCACATATCGGCGCCCCCACACCCTTTCCAGCCCATATGCAACTTTGCTCGGCCAATGCGCTTGGCTTTTGGCTGTGCCTCCGTTTTGCTTCCACCTCCGGAAGCAACATCCCTGCACAGCCCTCAATCGTTCTAGACCCCACCCGGGCGCTTCTCTCCCACGCTGTACAACGATTGTCTCACATTGATTGCTCCCTTTCTCTGGCATGCAGTTTTCACTTCATTCACCGCTAACAACTTCCTGGCCTGTATCCATATCGCCAATAGCCGACTGCCCCACCCAGGACAGACAGCTCTGATCTGACAGCCGCACCCTCACATCCTGGAACGTAAGCCACAGGTCGCTTACCCACCCCAGCCAAAAGGTCTATAAACCCACCTGTCAAAGTCTTTCGTTACGCGCCCTGGCAAATTGATGGGCCTGCCTTTCCATTTGCTACAGCGATATTCTTCTTGCGCTTCTTGTCCTTTCTACGCGCGATCCTTTTCCGACAATGTTCATTGCTTCCCTTGGTATTCTGGCGACAGCAAGCGAGTTCTTCCCACAAATGGGTAATTCATCTAGCACCTCATTGCCTATTCGTCCACATGTGCGCAACTCACCACGCAGAAAGCACGAACGTGCACCTCTCGGAACCGTCGTATCCCCGCTCCCTCTCAAACCGGTTAATGCAGTGCCCTGTCTCAGACCCCCCTTACCTCAGGGTGAAAATCGCGCACTACCCTGTCTTGGTCACCTGACGTCAACCCTCCCTGAAAGCCCTGCAACACGGACGACCGGGTGGACGCGGTAGCATCCGCCCTTCAGGCAACTGTGCATTCATTTCCTATCGTGGAAGCCGTACCGCTTTCGGGCTCTCCCGGTGGTCGTCCGTTCTCTGTTGTACAGTACTAATGGTGCTTGGTGGGTACGCTAGGGTGTGCCCGGCTTGTTGCTCCTCAACTGTCACTTCGTACACGTTCCCTCTTCGTCGGCGGTCATCACCTCATGTTTATGCTTATCTCTTCCACAGACGGACGCTCCACGAATCAGACTCGCGCAAGTACGTCGAAAAAACACGCTATTTCCTAACTCAACAATGCCCGTCTACAACGCTCCAGGGTAATCCGTTATCTATGCGCTGGTCGGGCGAGTGCCAGAAGTCCGGCGGGGCACTGCCAGCTGGCACAGCCGGGACCGGACCTGCTGTATCATGTTACCCCTGATCACTCGCAACAATTCTTTCTCATTCTTCCGGAACCACTGATTGACTTGCAATCACCTGGTCGATGCTGATTGTTTGTGCCGTAACTGTGCTTCGTCGCTTCTTTCACGTGCGAACCATTCAATAGGCCCTTCTCTTTGTGCGCCTGCTGGGAAACATAAATACAATCACAATCGCGTTATCGTCCACACTCAATCGCAATGGATGCCACTTCTGACAAACAACCGATTGCCACCAATATACTAATCACGCGGTCTGCTTTTCAACGCGCTCGGCTAAAGCATACATCGACGCCGAGATCTTGGCTTGCGCCTCGGACGAAAAATGTGGAGCCCTACCTTACCAGTCACTGGATTCCGACTTTCCGTGTTGACAGCTCGACGTGGTCGCTCTTGACCGTGTGAAGAGCTGCTTGGCCCGAGGAGAGTTTCTTTGTTGCCTTTCAGTCTACCTCGCGCTCCGCTCAAACGCAGACCTGGAATCTTCGACGCATCTCTTTGATCATCTTGCCGATTTCCATATTTGGCCAACTGTCTGCCGACCACGTTGCAAGTCGCCAAATTGCCGCCCGGCCCCCTCCCGATCTCGGCTTCTGCAGCTTCTCGTTGCACACATCGCGTCGCATTACCGAGCATCCCAGGGGATAGATCTAGGGTTTGACCCCCGGCAGAAGAAGCCAGATGCTGTCAGCAGGACCCTTGGTTATGCGACAGAGTGGACCAGTCGGCCCACTCCAACACTTGCCCTTAACCGCAACAACGAAATGAAATTTCCGGGGTTGGAAAACCTTATCGACTACATGCATTAATATAAGGAAACGACGTGGCACGTGGGGACCTGAAAACTTTCAAGTTGCTCGGGAATGTGGCGAAGATGTCAGCGCCCCACGGAGGATAACCCTTGGTGGCTACTTAACTGGGCAATATCCCTTACTGTCGATCCCTGCTCTAGGAATGTACATCTGCTAGGACAATCTTAACGGCAATCCCTAGGAAATCTTGACTTTCCGAAACGTTGCCGTACACGTACATATCCACTGCGGGGCCCCTTGGCATGGCGATTTTCGATGACGGCAAAACCTCGGTAAGGCTGGCATGCGGTCGCAGCATGAATGGGCATCTCAGCTTCTTGGGGCAAAAGTTCTGCTACTGTCGATTTTGAAACACTAGCTAGTGCTGGGTGTTCTGCCTACCACCGCCGGTCACCGCACACCGAAGTACGAGCGGGTCTAGAAGTCGAAAATCTGGAGACGGGGGCGCACACTCCATATGGCTCGGGTTTTCCCAAGTTCTCTGAATCGGACTAGGAACATCAGGTGAACAGTCGAGGCCCAGAACGACGGAAAAGAAAGTTTCCTTACCCTGTTGTACCCCTTGCGGACGAAATATCGATTGCCTCTCTCAGCCTCCGCTCCGGGTGTTGAGGTTCAAATCCCGCATGAACGGATTGCGAAGAATTTCCTGAAAAGCCTTTCAATTAGGTTCCTCGACATGATGACCTCCTTGATAACCGGGAACCCGTGGCGCTCTCCGTGCTTTTCGGGGCCCGTAGGCTCTTGAGTATTCTCAGGCTGCCCAGGTTTGGAAAGTGCTTTCGACGAGGCTCTTCTATCGGCCCACGCCACGTGTTGGCATTGTAATATCGCTTGCTATATTGCGCAACACCCACACAACCTTTATCGGGATCAATGACAAACCAAAGCGTTTCGTATTATGCCCAATATAAGCTACCAACGGTCACCCCGTCACGGAGCCAATGTTCTAAAGAAGAAAGTATCAGATGGTGCCGCTCACAAATCACATAACCAAAAAATGAAAATGGAGAATAGAATAGGGAATCAGACCGAGACAACAATCAAGCCGACTTGTCCCCCTCATCCTGGTTCTCCTCGCTCTCCGTGACAACGCCCCAGTCCTCACCTCGTGTGACCATCTCCCACCCTGCTCCCCGACTGCGGAGGAACCGGATTACCTCGTGCCCGCTGCGCGATTCATTCGGCTCCGGGACGAATTCCTCGTTCGTACTTTCCTGCACGGATACGCTGGTCTCAGGGAGATGCCCAAACGCGCGTGCTAAGTGCGGGGAAGCCGTAACGCGTTCATCGGACCGTTCAAGGTCGTTGAGGAACTTGAAGAGCGCTTGACACGCGAGGACCCGATAGCGCAGGACGTGCCGAACCAAACGACGGGAGGGGAGCTTCTGACGCTTTTTGAATGGCTTTGGTGGTGCGGGCGGTTCACCAGCGACAGGGGAGACTGAGGTGCCCGGGCTCGAGGAGGTAGCAGGGGTAGCAGTACCCGTCCCTGCCGGTGTTGGCTTCTTCCTGAGATACTGGTTCTCGGGCTTGTCTGGCCTTGCTGAGAGTTGTAGTGAGCTGAGAGAGATCTCCCAGCTTTGAGGTCCCCATACGCCGATAAGCACTCGCCATGCTGCTACAAGGCGTTTCATACTGTCTAGAATGAGCGACCCGCAGTAGTCTGTACACGGAGAGTATGCGCACCTGTCATAATTCTGGTCGACGAGCTGTACGTGATACAATGCGAACGCCCATGTAACCAGGGCAGCGACCACCGCCCCGATAGGTGTAAGCCACAGAAGTGTCCAGAGGACAACGAACATGCATGAGTAGGTGCCGACGAGGATGAACAACCCGAGGAAGGCCTTGCCCTGTGCGATCTCCTCTTCGTCCGGGATCAGGTGCTGGACATAGGCACCGACGGCGTAGATAGGGAGGTGGACGAGCAGGGGAAGGAGAAAGAAGGGGAGACGGACGAAGGAGGCGACACTGTCACGTATGAGGAGGGAGAGGGTGCGGAGTCGTGAAGGGAGGGGAGTGGGGAGGCGTGGGTCGAGCGAACGGGGAAGGGGGAGGGAGGACAGCACCTCGTGTGTCAGACGAGACTCTTTCAGCAGGGCGTAGTATGTCAGGAGGCTGGATTTGACTGCTTCGGTGCGAGGGTTAGGGTGGGGAGGGGTAAAGAGGTCCACGAGCCTGTTCCTGCGTCAGCGAATGCCTACGACCAGAGCAAGAAACATACGTCTGGGAAATAGCCGTAAAGTCTTCCAAAGGGATAGTCTTATCGTCAACCCACAATATCTCTCTCGCCATCCTGGCAGCGTTTAGTGTCTCCCAATCGGGGGCATTGACAGACATCTCGATCATCGCTCGCTGGAGCGCGTGGGTGAGGTGTTTGGTTGCCGCACGCCCTGCTCCTTCAGAGGGAGAGGTGTACGCGTCCATATACGCGTCCATCGTGAGTGCTTTACCGAATCTGTTCAGGGTCAGTCGATCCTTGAGGCACATACGATGAGGATGGGGGAAGCGCACCGGAGGATGACGGCGCTCCTGTATTTGCTCTTGTTGGTGTATACGACAGAGGCGGGGACGATGACCACCGGGGAGAAAGACTTTGTGCTCCCCTGAGCCTTGGCATCGCGAACCATTGCAGTGTACTCAAGGGCGCACCAAGCGGCACCATCTTTGACTTGCACGATACTCGGTTCCTGCATACTATGAGGCGCGACTCAAAGCCCGGCACTAGAAGAGGCGCACGGTGTAGGAGGTGCCCTCAGGGAAGACAGCAACAGCGTCTCCCTGTTCTAGGACGTCAAAAGTTCCCTGGAAAAGCTTTCGCTTGTCCTTGTTCCCCCTGTCTACGGGGATGTTCCCTGCGTTGAGCATGAGCCAGCGGAGGACGGCGTTGCTGAATAGGCCTGATTTTGCCCAATAGTGGAACCATCTGTTTGATGGGTAGCTAGTGGCTGGATAACAAGATGAGGGAGTGCTACAAGATGGGATGATAACGCGTACATAATACAGTTGGGTCCAAAGCAGAGTTATGATGTGTACTTGCGACGATGACCGCTCCGTGTCTTGGGAGGTTGTGTTCGTCGATGATACGTACGTCGCGAAAGAAAGACCAGAGAGCAAAGTACGCAAGCCTTACTAGAAAACGATGTAGATAAGTAGCTGGTATGTTCTGATCTGGCATCCTTGTCATGGAGAGAGAGAGAGAGAGAGAGAGAGAAAAGTGATGAGGAATGAATATAAGGGTTTGCGTATATATAGTTACGTTTGCACCCTTCTCTCCACATTTCTTAACTCCGACGGGGGTGGTATGACCGACGCTGTGTTTCTGATTCCGTTACCATCAAGCGCTCTTTATCACTGCTCTCCATTGTACCACCACTCTCTTCCTTCTCTTCTTCGTCCTCGTCCTCGTCCTCCCTCGACGGGCATGTCCAACCAATACTACCAATCAACTCCATCACGTCCTCATTCACGACCACCATCAACACTCACAATCGATCCACCACCTCTTAACTCCCGCCGCTCTTCATCCCTTAACCTCATATCCCCCAACCAAGATCCACTTGATGAAGACCGAGCAAGGCGAACGTACGAAGAGGGTGATATGGGGGAAATGAAGCAAGCACTATGGTCTATGCTCACAAGAGTCGACGAACTCGTGCGTCCTCCTATCCTATCCTATCCCTACACACCCCTGACGCAAGAAGAGCGCACAAGTCCACTCCCTCCTCACAGAGCAGGAAGACCTCAACACCTCCCTCACTGTGGCAAAGTCCAACCTTACACTCGCACTGAGCAACAATGAGATGCTCGAAGAAGCGCTTGCTCGGACACCTGCTAGCGCCCAGCCTCTAGGGTGGAGGCGGCATTCCGCGAGAGATGGGGTGCACAGGGAAGTCCAGAGTGCCGCGCCAGACTACCCACAAAGGCGGAGCTGGGACACTGTTGGAAGCATAGATTCTAGCCCGGAAGAACTCACCTTCTGGCAGAGTTTAACTCGCCCTGCCAGTGCTGCTCCTCGACCAAGCACACCGCACCCGCCCCTGACGGCTATAGGGGTTATGAGGGAACGACAGAGCCTGACCAGTGCGAGCACCCCGGCGCTGCTGGATGGGACGCTTGTGGAAGTTGAGAGGCTGAGGGACGCGCTGAGGAATGAAAGAGCCCAGAGCGAGAGTCTGAAGAAGGAGAAAGCCGGGCTGGAACAGGAGATCGAGAGTCTCAGTCAGGCGCTCTTTGAGGAGGTCAGTGCCCCCTCCTCTTCCGCATCAAAATGCTAATCAGATACAGGCGAATAAGATGGTTTCTGACGAGAGGAAGCGGCGCGCGGCTGCAGAGATAGATCTCCAGGAAATGCGTGACGAGAGGGAGGCGATGAAGCGCACACTTCGGATGGTGGAGGAAGAGAACCGCAAGCTCCGGAGGGGAGAAGCGTTGCCTGGTCTCGCACTCTCCGGGAACACGAATACGAGTACAACCCCGGAACTGGTCTACCCTTCCCCGTCCCGCGCACTAGGGTACGAGCAAGCAGACAAAGACATGACCCCCACGCAGCCTGAGCGCCCGCCCTCTGACGCCGCCTCAGTAAGGAGCGAGATGCTCGATGACGGCGTGCGCATCGACCGCGTTTGGCTCGACGCGATCTCCCCCCCTGTCGGCTCCTTCCCCCGACCGTTGAACCTCGTCAGCGGGTTCGGCACTACCCCGCCGAACGAGACGAGTTCGCTTGCCGCGGCGTACCCGAATCACCCCACACTTAACCTGAGGAGGTCACCCGGGCAGCAACATACGTCTCTCCCGCCGTCGCCGAACGACCAAGCGGGAGGATACTTTCCGCAGCCTGGATCGTACCTCAGCGCAGGGAACCAGCCGGGGTATGGATGGGCAGGAGGGAACGGGAATGGGATGAACGGGGTGGGGGAAGGGCTTAGAAGGTTGGAGCTTGTACCCAAGGAGCTCTAGGCATAGACGATGGAGGGATGGAAGGATCTGGGTTGGGATATGCGGATACCCGGGCACGAAGTACCCCATTGCACGTTGTATACTAATGAAATACCCTACATCGCTCACAAGTCATTTCTCCAAGCAGCCCAGAAACGCCTTAGAGTAAAGAGGGATGAGGCCGTTCGTCAAGGTGTGGCTCAAGGACATTTCCTGTGATGAACCAACATATCCACCATCATTGAGCATTCCCCTCTGATCTACCAATTTTCGGACTGAGCGTACGGTGTAGCAAACAGATTCATGAAGGAAGGTATGTATGATGTGGTCAATGTGTGATAGTACATAATTGCGTGAGTGTGCACTACGTGGTGGCTAGAGGACAGCAGAAATTCAAAGCACCGGTTCCTTACTAAAGACGAGACGATACAGCGCGATACAGTCCTCGCAATATGCTCCATTCAACGAGAGGACCATGTAGCCCAGTTCGTCGGCGGTTGCCTCGTGCGCAACAGCCGAGGCCGCAGAATGCAATTTCTCGTACCGGCGGAACTCGTGCGCTCAACGATAACTTTGACCACGTTGACCCCATCTTTTTCACCTCCTCGACAACCTCGTTCGTGGGGTGCGCGTTTGCACAAGTATCCCAGCCATATCCAACTCTCGCACCTTTGGATCAAACTGATCCTGCAAGGCTTTCCGTGCGTCATCATGGAAGACTCTCCACCGGAGCTGTCTCATCTTGCGGGAGTCCTGGGAACATTGTTCATGAGGGAGAGAACAAGACGACGACAGGTGAGCTCTCACCACAAGGGCAACTCTGCCACATCCTGCTCAAGGGTGTTTACACTGCGCATGAGTTGGGCGATATCTGCCTTCAGTTGGGCGTTGTCTGCTTTCAGTTGGGCGATATCTGTCTTCAGTTGGGCGTTGTCTGCCTTCAGTTGCTCGTTGTCGGCCTCCACGTTCTTCAACCGTTCCATGATCAATTGAAGCATCTTCCCTTTCGGTGCAAAATCAACAAAGCCGTTCGTTGGCAGACATGTCATCGGACGGAGGCAAATGGGCTGTACAGAACTAGGGATAGGGGACGATCCCTGAGAGATGCATTCAGGTCCTGACCGTTCCGAGGGGTTGGATTCGGTGTTGAGCGCTTATGCTAACAATAGTGAACGTTGCTGTGCTGCGCTTTTGCCATTTGGCTCACAGTTATTATTGCCTCTCCTTGGCTCATGCATCTTACCTTTGCCTTTTCTCTCAACTTCTCGATAGCTCACATTCCTCCGTTCTTGGCATCCAAACACTCCCCTCAACTACAAGTACAAGATGCCTCCTCATCTCCCCTCTCGAGAAACGACAGTCACAATCATGTCCCTTCTCCTAGGCATCACTGCTCTCCTCCTCCTCTCCCCAACATCAGGACTCCGCTCTCCAATCCTTCACAGACCGAGACGCCTCGCCAAGGCGGAGAAGAGCGTCATCGTACAACTCTTCGAATGGGATTGGGACAGCGTCGCTAGGGAATGTGGAGCGTTTATTGGGCCTGCTGGTGCGCTCTTCCTTGGCTCTTCGGGCAGAGGATTTAGCTGATGGGAGAAGGGTATGGGTTTGTGCAAGGTATACCCCTCTTCTGAACGTAAATGGTCACTTATAAGCGTAGTGAGCCCACCGCAGGAACACATGGTCGGTCCACAAGTGCGTGCCTTCTTGTCCTGTCCGTATATTGCTCACGGCACATGTGTGTGTAGTGGTGGACAGACTACCAGCCCGTGTCGCATAACATCATCTCGAAGCGGGGGAACCGCGCCCAGTTCGCAAACATGGTCCAGGCGTGCAGAACCGCGGGTGTGCAAGTGATCGCCGGTGCGCAGGTTTTCTTTCCCTTTTGTGGGTGGGAGCTGATCGGGGGTAGATACGGTGCTGAATCATATGTCTGCTCAGGGCTCGGGTGAGTTTTGACAGTGATGGTTGAGGTGGGGGGATACTCACCTTTTGATTGTAGGTACGGGCGTTGGGGGAACGGTGTATAGTGCGTTTGAACTTCGGAGGTTTCGTTTAGGGGTCGCTGATGCTTTCCTTGGCAGGCCATTATTCGTATCCTGGTATACAGTATCAGGTGAGTTATGTTTCCCTTGATTGCCGACGTGCTAAGCAGAAATGCTAGGACTTTCATCATTGCGGTATGTATTTCTGTCATCCTGCTCCCCTCCGACTAAGTGACGAAAGGCCTGGAACCGAACGACGTCATCGGTATGTCCCTTCACCCTCCATGCATCTACTCTGAGCTCATCTGAGCTCATACCTCTCGTAGTGAACTACGACAACAGGGGAGAAGTTCAGACGTGCGAACTGCTCGGGCTTGCAGAGTGAGCCCTCCCTTCCGATCTCCGATCGAAGTGCGCTACTGACCATCAAACAGCCTAGATACAGGCTCTGAATATGTGCGGAAGCTGTTGGCTGCTTATGCGAATGATCTTGGTACGCGATAATTTTCTGTGATGTATCCCGCTCATGTAGAACAGCTTCTTTGGGTGTTACGGGATTCCGTCTCGACGCTTCGAAGCGTGCGCCAGACCCTCTGAAACGTATCGTGTCGTTCTTATGCAAAATAGATATCGCCGCTACGGACATCGCGAACATCGTCCGTCGATTTGTAGGAAAGCCATATATTACGCAAGAGGTGGGTTTCGTGTGCTGCCTATGGGGTGAAGGGTTGATTTGCATTCTAGGTGATTTATGGTTATGGAGAGCCTATTCAGCCGAACGAATACACGGGAAATGGTGAGTACTACCTTCTGTGACGTGGGCGGTTCACGCTGACTGGCTGAAGGTGACGTTCAAGAGTGCGGAACGAAGACTGTTACAAGCCTGGAGGCGTGTTGACGATGATGTGATAGGTTTAGATATACATCAGCGTTACAGAGCGCTTTCCTGTCAAACGGCATCGTTTCGCTGATCACTCTGCCACTGAAAGGTATGCTGTGAGATTCGTCCATATTAAAGTTGCTCAAAGGTTGCAGACTGGGTACCGTCATCTTCGGCAAACGTGTTTGTGGTGAGTAGAGCGCCTAAACCTGGAAGCGTTGACTGATGATATGAAGGCAAATCATGATACGGAAAGGGTATGGCAAGCTCCCCACCCCAAGTCGTAGACTAATAGGCAAGTAGAACGGGAACTCGCTTAATTATAGGTCCCCCTCCAATATGTATTGGCTTGCGAATGTGTTTATGCTGTGAGTGCTTTCTGATAGGTAGGACGCAATCTGATATGGGACCCGCAGGACCTGGCCCTTTGGTACGCCGACCGTGTTGTCCAGCTACGATTTTACCGATCATGATGCTGGAGCGCCGAATAACGGTAGGGGCTCCCGCTTTCATAGATCACAGGCTGATCGGTCCATATAGGTGCTGGAACATGTTCGGGCACGGGAGGGTCAAATGGATGGCAAGTTTTGATCGTACACCTGTGGACAGATATTGACAGTATGTATTAGGTTATGTCAGCATCGGAGTCCAGTCATTGCCAATCTCCTGCCGCTTCACAACGCTCTGATCAAACCTGCCTCTCTGGATCATGTGATGACAGGCACAGCGCAACAGCTTGCTTATGGAAGGGGCTCGACGGGATTCGTTGCGATCAACAACGATGACAGCGCTTGGTCCGCAACATTCTCAACTTCGCTTCATGACGGCCGGTATTGCGATTTGATCGCTGGCGGCTTGTCAGGAGCTGAATGCGCTGGATCAAGGTACGCCCGATCTGACACGATCCGGACATCCACTCATCAAACCCAGTTATGATGTCTCGCGAGAGTCGTTCTCTGCCACGATACCCCCTAGATCCGCGATCGCCTTATACGTTGGATCACGCACTATTCCACCTATTCTCCGCCGTCACAGTCATGCCCACGAAACGAAGAACATCACTGTCGAATTCCTAGTTCGGGCTCTTGTAGACAACCCTGTGGGAGGATCGAGAGCTTAGTATGTAAGGCCGGATACCCTACAAGGGATTCATTCCCTGGACATTCAAATTTCCACCATTTTGGATACCTTGTATTATATACACATTTTCTACATAGATCATTTCGTTCGTAGGCGGATGGCATCAGCTTGGAGGTGCTGGGCAGGGGCCATAGACAGGGGATCCTTTCATCTGCATGTGAAGCGCTGATAAGGGGCTTAGAGTGGACAACAGTCACCACGAACGACCTTGTACCACCAACTGTACTAGCGCTTTACCTACCTCTCATCCAGTCGATATGCCCGCCAACCTTCGCAAAGATAAGATGAACTCCCTTGCGGATTGGCGAGAGGAATATCACGAGCTGGAGCAAGATCAAGGGGAGCGAGAACGGCCCATTGTGGAAGTGGAAACCGACCCCGCTCTCCCTCTACCTGAGATTAACATGTCTCAACTTCTCCGGCATGCAAAAGTGAAAGGTATGTCCACCTGTGGATAGTGATGCTTGCGCCATGCTAATGCTCTGCGTGAAGAGGAGAAGCTACAGTCCGGGTAAGCGCGGTCATGACGGTTGGTGTTGTGTTCCCATTGTCATGCATCAACCGCAGATACGATTTCATTGCTTCACCTGCGTCGAAGGTCGTTGTTGCCGAAGAGACGAAAGGCCCTCGGGTAGTGTCACAGGATAATGACGAAGAGTGGGTTGATCTCAAGGAAGACGCACACGCTTCTAAGGGGTATTCCGAGGTCGTTAAAGGCGCCTAGAGGATGCTCATACTTTGTAATCAAGTGGCTGTATTCATTAGAGTATTCCGAAGATGAAGTAACGTGTTAGGCGGTGATGATATGTAACTAATCGAGAGGATGAACGCATGAAGGGCGATGTACGAATTACCGGCCAGCCGCGATTATCAGTGAAAATTTGACCAACACGAAGGAGGCGCTGAGATATCCGGAGTCTGCTTTCTCCTACTACTTCGGCGCGGCCACTGTCTGGATATATGACATGGACCGTAATTTGACATGAGAGGAGTACTGAAGAGCTGATTGCGCAAAAGTGGGAAATAGGGTCGCTGGCGTGGCCCGTGCGCAGGCATTGTCGAGGGCAGGTCTGCCTGGACTTTCGCTCCATCCGTCATAACGATTAATTACCACATAGATATACAATGGTATGTCGTGCTAGGTATTCTATTCTCATCAGTATATGGAGTCGTGAAGTATTCCATTGTTCGAAGGCAGATGGCCTATCCAGGTGTTTCATTACGGTCCCCATTGGAAGATAACCAGTCCAAAGCCACGTCTCCTTTCTTGCGGAATGAAGGTTGGTGTTGACCTTCGCCATACTCCCCTGTATCCCCTTGATCCTGTTCCTTGCTGTCTTCCATCTCCTCCAGCTCTCCGGCCGTTAAGACTCGAACGACTCCACCACCTGACTTGTCTCTCTTCTTGATGAACTCCTGCCCTTCCTCCACAGCTCGACCGCCGACGTTGAGCATGTCGTCCACCAAACCCTTCACTCGCTCCCAAACAGGATCAGCCTTGTCGTGGTCCTCTTCCTCTTCGGACTCCAAATCCAATCCATCTGCTTCCCAGGTCGTCTTGAGTGCCTGGAAGGTCCGAGGGGGTAAGGAGAGACGGGATTCTCGCAGCTTTCGACGGAGCTCACGGATTTCGAGTGACTGCTTGTGCCGCTCGCGCTCTAATGATGCGGTTAACTGCTGCAATGAAGCGGTCTGTATTTCCAGATCGGCAATCTGCACAAGTATCAGTTTGCGCGCTCTCATCCAACAATACACATGCGCACCTTTCGATTCGTCCGTGCCTCTGCACGCTGTTCCACCTCCTCATCCGTCAACGAGCTCATTTTCCTGTCAAAGGTTGGGCTTGCTAGGTTACTGCTTGCTGCCTCTGAGTCTTCCCTTGGAGAAAAGACTGGGGGAGATGAAAGGTATCCATTCGTTGGCCTGCTGGGGGTATACAACGGTACGGGAGTCGTCCCATTCCGGGATATAGGCTCGTCCTCTTCTGGAGATTGACTGAGCGGCAGGAACCGTCCTGAGGACGGAGAGAGTATGCCATAACCACTTTCGGCGGAGGATTGAGAGGAGATGGTAGATGATGGAGGGGAGTGATGTGGTGGTTCGAGGGACTTGGTCGGAGTCGGTGGGAAGGTATTGACAACTGGTGGTAGTAACCGAGGTGGGGATGCTGGAGGGGAATTAATCTTCGATTCCAGGAATGTTGCTGTGGCAGGTGAATGAAGAGGTACGGGCGCTCGTAAACTGACAAGAGAATTCGAACGGGTATGTAAGCCATTACGCCGTCGGTTGGTCGGTGGGGTGTTGGACGCGGGTTGCGGCGGCTGCGGCTTTGCCAGAGATGAGACCTTCGCTTTCACCTTGATTTGGGCAATTGATGCGGACGAGACGAGCGTTGAGGATTGGCTGGGAGTTCGTTGCCTTGGGGAGAAGCTGGGTGATACGGGTGAAGAATGGAAAGGGAATGGCTCCTTGAGAGGCAACAATCCCGCAGGTCGACCCTGCGACGACTTTGGTCTTCTCGGTACATCCCCAATACGAGCATGTCCTTTAGGAATTGTTGTTGGCGGCGACGGTCTCGGTGATGGGGCGCGTCTGATCTTGGCGACGGACGACAAGGAAGCCTTTGGCCGTAACGACGGAGTGGATTCATTGTTCGCAGTCGCAGTTTGGGGAGGGATGACCTGGAGGTCGAGCTGAGTGATATTGCCACCAACCACATTGACTTCGACGCTACCTTTGGTCGTGAGGACATTACCACGACGCTTAGAGCGCGTGAGTGTGCAGGTATAGTACAGGGTGGATAGGAAGCAAGAAAGGTATGACACGCGCAGAGGCTGCTGCTCCCTTAGCAATGACCAGACGCGTTGATGGAACATTTAGGGGCGCCGGCACCAGTATCTCCCGTCTAACAATATCAACTCAGTTAGTCATTGTATAACTACCTTGCACAAATAAATGGTCTATTGGTGTATAAGAAACAGAATGAGCGGCGAGGGATATGAACAACTTCAGTGCAAAGGAGTGAGTAGTGGCTGTCTGTTAGAGATATCCTCTCTCTGATAACTCACATCAAGCTCAGATTTCACTTTCGCCCATGAAAGGCCCCTGGATGAGGTCGTTCTGCCACTGAACTCTCTGCGGATCCATCCCATTCCCCTTCAACATGATTTCGTCACGTTGCAAGCACGCCTCCTTGCCGGATAGAACACGCTTCTGGCCCTCTACTTTCGCCCGAGCGACAGATTTCGTGACGATAGGAATCCGAATGTTCTCATACTCTTTGAAAGCACTTTCGAGGCTCTCGTCGGTGAATGGTGCAGCCTTGCAAAGGAGTCGAACGAAATGGTAGCAGTCTTCCATTGCCTAGAGCACATAAGCAACGAGGAAAGAGACTAAGTAAATACCATACCTGATTACCACCCTGCCCAAGGAACGGGCTAGTCGGATGTGCAGCATCACCCAGCAGCACGATTCGACCCTTATGCCATGACGGGCATATCGGCCGTTCATAGAGCCCATATTTCGTCACGAATGTGGCATGGGCGAGGACGTCTTTGGGACCATTATCCCAGTTGGCCACAGGCAGACCATCGAGCAATTCTTTGGCATTCTCGATGCTTATCCGTTTCCAATCTTCGCGAGCTTCATTCGGCTCGGGGAAAGTCGCGACCCATGCCATCTGTTCGTGACCGATCGGCGTAGCGACGAAGTGTACGCCGTCACCCAAGTACTGGTGAGCCATATGCACAGGAGACTTCAAGATTTCAGGAGTAATAGATATCCCGCCGATCTATGCACTCTGTCAGTATTTCGAACGCCCACGTATGTAACAAACGAACCTGGGCAAGCCTCGAATACTTGATTTCGTCCTTCCCAAACAGTGCGTTGCGTACTGCACTGTGAAGACCATCACATCCCACCAGAAGGTCGCCCTCGGCCTCGCTCCCATCCTCGAATATCGCTCTGACCCTCTCGCCTTCTTGTTTTACCCCAACAAGGTTCCTGCTAAATGTGATTGAGATACCGCGTTCCTTAGCTGAGTCGTACAGGAACTGGCAATACCGTACGCGCGCTATCATGAGCATCGGCCATCCGAGCCAGTCGCGAACTCGTGCGGGTATATCGGAGGTGCCGAGTTGCTCGCCCCGAAGCTGGGAGTAGGTCCTGAAATGATCAAGCGATTCGCCCAGAGCTATGAGTTTCTCCGCGAGACCCAGGATATTGAGCACTTTGAGGCTAGCAATATCATGAGCATATGTATTGTACAGTGCTAGGAAGAGAGAACGCACGTCTGAGGTGATACACCCAGGGAGATGCCCGCTACTTGGATTTCCGGTAGACGCTCGAAGATGTGAGGCTCGAACCCCTTGTGCTTGAGAAGCATAGCTAGCACTGGGCCTGAAAGAACGTATTATTCTGTGGTGCGAAAGAACGGTGAAAAACACTCACCGGCTATACCACACCCGATGATAATGACAGATTTCGACATGGTATGCGATGAGAGGATTGGTAGAGCTATCGATGGTGCAGAACGGGTTGGTTGTTGAAGACCAAAAACAAGCAAACTACCGTTCCTTTAGTATGCTACATACTTTGCTGCTGCGCGATGACTTGAACGTTTGGAGATGACTTTGCAGTTTCGGAGCAGCAAGAGCCGCAATTGACTAGGCGGCTTGTGTCGTGCCGCTCAGAACATTTGGACGTTCTCCAGGTCTGCGCGACTCGAGTATACACGAGAAGTGTGCTCTGTGCCTGTGCCCTTGCGCGCCTCGGAGGCAATCTGCCTCATAATTTTCTTAAATGGTAAGCAACCTTCGGATTGCACAAGTAATGTGTGCAACTTTTAATGTACGCACAAAATTATTATTATCAAATGAGACTCTTGTGTGTGGAATTTACTAAGATCTAGTATACATTTCAACAAAAATAGAGAGCCAATTAATAACAATTTGGGGCCAAAAATCGATTTACCGGGAAAGTGTTGTGGGAGAGCGCACCGCACCCTCAATGCCTTCGGCTGACCATACAAAATGGTGAGGAGGAAATTTTATTCAGTTTTCAACCAATTGCTATTGAATAACTATGCATTTTTTTGGTAAAATAAATATAACTTTATCAGTGAATTTCACACACACAATTTTGGTTTGATAATAATAATTTTTTGTACTTTAAAAGTTGCACACATTACTTGTGCAATCCGAAGGTTGCTTACCATTTAAGGAAATGATGAGGCAAATTGTCTCCGAGGCGCGCAAGGGCACAGGCACTGAGCACACTTGTTGTCGCCCCTCGCGCGACTCATCGGTGTCCAGGGTTTGCAACTACGACCACTACTGCGCTATTCACTCGTCAGCTATTGCGACTTGTGAGCATGCAGCTACGAATGATTGAAAAACAGACACCATAACATAGAACCTCTTGCCATCGCATTTCTTTCGCCTCCGTCTCCCAGAAAGTCGTGCATCAGCAACCTCAAAGGTCCTCTCTGATCGTCACTGGAGGCGATAACACTGAATCCTTGGTAAAGCTTCTAAAGTCTGGTCATCAGTCTTTGACGCTTCTTCAAGATGCAGTACTCTGGTTATTATTGGATTGAGATATGTCCACGCCTTCTGCCGTAATATTCCTTGGGGCCTCCATCAGAGCCTGTCCTCAGTGTTATCAACGAGCATCATTCATCATCTGATCTAGAGGCACCAACCACACCGCCTTCGACCCCGGATACATCACCTTCGCCCTTTGTATGAAGCCCTCGCAAACGAGATCACAGATTTGGTCTGCCTGGAGCCGTTCTGCGCAGGGATCTCGGCAACGACTTATTCTTAGTAGCACCCATGCTCCAAATTCGTGGGAAACAAGTAATTCCTGACCAGCTGAGGTCAGCCGACCTTCTCCAGCATGTGGTTCTCCTCACTTAATCACTCCCCGAATCTGCAAAATACACGCAATGTGATTGCCGTCGGGGCCATCTGAAGACGTGGACATACGATTTGGTACTAGAGCTCGAAGGAAGGGCACATGGACCGCTCACGCAAATGAGCGATGCAGGAACCGCAACCGAGAAGGGAGGCGATTTCTAGTTAGTAAGGGGATGGAAGGTATAAAGCATGCTCTTTTCCCCATGAGCTGCCCTCAAAAATCAAGATATCCAACGACCATAACCACTCCCATAACACCTCCTTCAGAAGCACATGATATGTCTGGCAAGAACGTCATCATCATCGGTTGCGGAATTGCTGGTACGTGTCGTTCCTTCAAGTAACAGATGCCTTCGAATCCTCGCTGAGCTCGATGGGTAGGTCCGGTGCTGTCTATGCTTTTGCAACACAAGGGATTCAACCCTCTCATTTATGAGCGTCTTCCTGAGATGTCGCAGGGTGGAATAGCTATCGGGCTCTCTCCTCAGACGTGAGGAGGTCTTTGCGAGCCGTATGGTACAGCTAAAAGACTATCATCCAGGCTGAAAGTCCTGAACATCCTCGGTCTTGCCAACGATCTCATTACCATCTCTGCGACGCTTGAAGAGACTTATGCGTACTCAGAGCTTTCGGGGGAAGAACTTGGTCATTCGGACGGCGTGGGAAATATGCGGGCAGCACTAGGTTGGCCAATGATCTGCGTTGCACGTGCCGCCTACAGCGAGTTCCTGTTCAATGCCATCACGAAACGTGGGATCCCGGTACAGTTCAACAAGAAAGCTGTGGACGTCAGTCAGGACGCAGACAAGGTTACCGTCGTCTTCGAAGATGGAACGAAGGCGGACGGAGATCTGTTGGTTGGTGCCGACGGTCTGCACAGCACCATCAGAAACGTGTTGTTTGGTAAGGATGAAGTGACCTACATGGGTCTTGTCCAGGTTCGCCTTATCCAATCTCGAACATATCCATGAATGCTTATTGAACTGGATCAGATCGGCGGATTCTCACCTATCCCCGAGTTCTTCAAATCCTGGAAACCAACCCTCTTCTCCGGTTACGGAAATGGCGCGCATTTCCTCAGCTCGCCCATCAACGACTCCCAGATTGGTTGGTCGATTACTATTGGTCAGGCGGTGGAGGCGCGAGAAGATTGGCCCAGGCTGAACCTCGAGGAAACGAAAACAATGGTCAACGCACTCCCTGTTGCTCAATGGGGGCATGGAACCAAGGATATCCTTGCTGGCGCAACGTTTGCCACCAAATTTGGTCTGTACGAGCGGCCCATCTTACCGGTTTGGCACAAGGGACGTATCGTGCTCGTCGGAGACGCAGCACATCCTACCAGCCCCCATCTTGGACAGGGTTCAAATCAGGTTCGTACTGCCAATAACTGGAAGTTTGTTTTGGCTGACATGCAAGCCACTAGGCCCTCGAAGACTGCTACCATCTGGTGCGCGTACTTCTGAAAGCCGAGCCTTGGACAGATGCCAGCCTTGAAGCCGCTTTCTCTGAGTACGAGGGTATTCGCATTCATATTGTGCAGAAGTCTGTGGGTCAGGCAAAGAAGGAGGGCGAGTTGCGAGTCTGGGTGGGAGAGGAAGCGTGTAGGAAGCGCGACGAGATCGTGAAGCAAGGTGGAGGATTCAGTCCGGAGAGAGCCAAGCTGCAAATGGAACTTGTGCAGGGACCGTTCTCTGGAGAAAGCGAGATTTGAGTCAAGCAAGCCATAAGCCCTCTGTCATTACGGGTTGAACAACTTGAACAAGAAGTCGGCTGCGTTCTTTTTGAGCTTGAACAGAGATTGTTTCCCTTTCTATCTTTCGGGACTGAGCTACCGCGCAACACGGATCCACATAGCTTAGCAAAGGTGGAAATACAAACTGCGCTTCATCTAGTGATGAGCTGCGTAGTGCTTTGCAAATCACTCTTTAGGGGGTAAAAGCCAGTTCCTCTGATATTGGTATGCAAAGCGTCGCGTGGGAGAGGAAGGGATCCGAACGCGGCGCTTCGGCCGGCTACTTCGCCTCCGCACACAGACAAGGCGGCTTGTATCAGGCGCTTTCCGACCACATCTCTTCCGTCTCTCAACTATCTCTGGTCTATTCCTGGACAGTGATAAGGATGTTTGCTGTTACTTTAGCGCTGTTGACATCGGATTGAATGAGAAAATGCGGTTGGAACATGCCGATCGTAGAGTTGCTGACGGCGGTCTGAAGCCGACGTGAGACCGTATAAAGCTTTCTCGAAAGTTTTGGTCGAACACCAGAAACAACCGCCTCGAATATTCAGCAACCAATTGACCTAAATATACAACTGCAATCACCGAACATGTCGCAATCTGTGATCATAATCGCGTGTGGGATCGCTGGTGCGTCTCTCTCCCGGACTTTGTGCGTGCATTTACTCAGACTACTCTCAGGGTCAGTGCTCGCGATGCTATTGAAGCACAAAGGCTTCAGTCCTATCATCTATGAGCGCCATGCCGAAATTCAGCAGGCTGGAATCTCCCTTGGTCTCTCGCCGCAGACGTGCGTCCCCTCATTCGGTCCTTCATTCGCTGGCTAACGGTTTACAACTCAGCTTCAAGGTCCTTAATATCCTCGGCCTGGCAGAGAAGCTCATTACCCTTGGTGTACCACTTGACGAGTTTGTTACGTGGTCCGAGCTGCGCGGAGAAATCATCGGCCGCAAGGACGCGCCCGCAAACGCTCTCAAATGGTTAGGCTGGCCCCAGATAACTATTTCTCGTTCGACATATGCGCGCTTCTTGTACGACTCCGCAGTAGAACGCAGCGTGGAGATGCACTTCAGCAAGAAGTTGGTCGATGTGAAACAGGATGGTGACAAGGTGCATGCGGTGTTTGAAGATGGTACAGAAGCTCAGGGGGATTTGCTGGTGGGCTGTGACGGGCTGCATAGCGCGGTCAGGAATGTCCTCTTCGGAAAAGAGGAAGTGAAATATTCCGGCCTCATTCAGGTCAGCTTGTTATGAGTCTCTTTTCACTCACGTGCTGATCCCAGCATACAGGTCGGCGGATTCGCTCCCATCCCCGATGCCTTCAAATCCGCAAAGTCTATATTCTACCAAGTGTTTGGTGAGGGTGCACACTTTCTCGCCTCACGAGTCTCCGATACGCAGGTTGCGTGGGCCACTACTATACCCCAGCCGACTGAAACACAGGAGGACTGGCGTCGGATGAGCCTTGCTGAAACCAAGGAGATGGTCAAGCATCTGCAAGTCTCCACTTGGAACCATGGCCCAAGCGAATTGGTCAACAGCGCCACATTCGTGACGAGATATGGGCTGTACGAACGCCCTATCCTTCCTGTTTGGCACAAAGGGCGCGTGGTGCTCGTGGGAGATGCGGCTCATCCCACCGGCCCCCATATGGGGCAGGGCTCAAACCAGGTATGTGGAGTCTTTTGTCACCTTGCGTACGAGGCTGACACTCTAATATAGGCGATGGAAGATTGTTATCATATTGTTCGTCTACTTTGTAAAGCCGAGTCATGGACCAACACCACACTGGAAGCCGCCTTTACGGAATACGAGCGTATTCGCATCCCGATCGTCACCAAATCGGTTGGACAGGCGAAGATACAGGGCGCCCATCGTGTCTTAATCGGCAGAGATGCGTGCGAAAAAAGTGATGAGATGCTCAAGCAAGGCGGAGGATACGATCCCGAAAGCATGAAAGTGCAGCTTGAACTTGTGCAGGGCCCGTTCACTGGCGAGAGTGAGATTTAAGGAATCAGGGGTTGTTATCGAAATCGTACCGAAGTCAGGGGAGGGGTATGTTGCATCGTGTCGATTGCTATGTTTGTGCTCATTGGGGAAGTTCCCGGAGCCGGTATAATGAGAACATATTAAACAATGCAAGGTTTTCAGCCGCAATTATTGAGATATAGCTTGGTATGGTTGTCTTCCTCTGAGGATGGCCTAGAGAAAGGAGATGGGTGGTCTGCGCCAAGTACTTCCGGTCCCCCCCTCAAGCCGGCCCTGAATGAACGCACCACACATGTGAGGGTCTGGTGAGACCTTCCCATGTCGTTCTGCGCCAGTTGCGCAACTTACCATATGAACTGGCCGAATAAATGTACTTGATTCAACTCTATGCTACGTTAGCAGCCAACAAATCTACCGCCCAACTCGAAGTGGTACCTGGGCAAGAACTCGCTGATAACCTCTATGGATCCAAACTCTTGGCATCTTACACCTAACATCAACATTGTAGAAGCACTCCCTGCAACTTCAGGGCCATCAATACTATCGCTGTCATCGTTATTCTCCTAGAGTCTTGTTTTTGTGCGAAACTTCGCTTCTCTGCTATTCTGTGCACATGGTCTCTGTTTCGCACGACTGTTCATCTGCTATCCGGAGCTGCGCCTGCTTATAGGAACGAAAGATTCTTTGTACCCCTGCATCTTGCGTGCTTGGCCTTCAGGGAACGTTCGAAGGACTAAAGAGTCAGCAAGTCTAGTGGATTCGTCTGTTCTACCAAGATGCTCTTTGTGAACCTTTGCCAGTGAATCGACTACCCTAGCCGAGGAGTTGCGGCCCGTATGCCGCGGAAGGAGGAAGACAGACGTACGCATGCACGTTGCTTCAACAGCACGATGTACAAGGAAACTTGTTCGTTTTGTAAAAGTAGCGGTCTGTTATTATAAAAGGAACAGCATGGCGCCTTGTTTGGGACAGAAAGACCAGCGCTGTTCAAGATGGTTATCACTCTCGACGTTTGCTCGTTGCTTCTGCTACTTTTCCAAGCTGTTCGTGCTTCACGGTCTGCAACGGTGGATCATGGGAGTCGATCTCTTCTTCCTCTCTGTCCTTGGTACCTTCCTCCTAGCTGTCACAATACCACTGCCGAGGCCGATTTGTGCTGTTTCGAGGCGCCTGGCGTAAATACATGTGCACAATTTGCTCGCTTGACACGGAGCTGAGACTTAAAATAGGGACATTTGCTGCAAACTCAATTCTGGGATGCGAATCCCCCCACTGGCCCAACGAACCATTGGACAATCCATGGCTTATGGCCCGATAAGTACGTGGTTTGTCGATTGCTTGACTGAGAATGAAACTACATACTGACGGAGCAGTACTAGTTGCGACAGCACGTACTCCGAATATTGTGACGCGTCCCGTGAATACAAGAATATCAGCGGGGTCCGTACTATACTTACGCAGAGGGCATAGCTGCTTACGAACTGCAATGGCACAGATTTTGACGAATGCAGGTGCCACTGCCAGATTGTCATACATGCAAACCTATTGGAAGAACGATCCCAGTGATGGCACTGATGAGGAGTTATGGGAACACGAATGGGCTGCACACGGGACTTGCTATTCTACTTTGAGTCCCAATTGTATAAGCAGCAGCGTGTATGGGCAGGATGTACGTCATCATCATCGTTGGCTCTATTACCACCACTAATACCTCTTAGGCCGTGTTTTTCTTCGAGCGTGTTGTGGGCCAGTTTCAACTGCTCCCAACATACCTGTTCCTCGAATCTCAGGGTATCACACCGAGCAACACCACAACGCACAGCCAGGAGTCGCTCCTATCGGCGCTCAAGATAGCATCTGTATGTGCCTGTCACGCCACGGGCCTGATGAGGTGGAACTGACCTCACAAGCAGGGTCGCACGCCCGCCATCTTGTGCTCGGGTTCAACCCTCAGTCAGATCTATTGGTACTTCAACCTCCAAGGGAGTCTAGTCGACGGAGTTTTGTTGCCTATCGACGTGCCGGCGGATTCGAGTAATTGTCCAGCAAGCGGCATCTACTATCTTCCGAAGGAGTATCAAAGCCGAAAGTTAGCCGTTACATTCCGCTGCCACAACTCATTCCCGCGGCAGGATCAAGGTAAGGTTGTCCATCAATAACAAAATAGGAGATATTAGCAACAAGATCGTTGCTCTGATTTCGTGTATTCATTGTACACGTTCGAAGCCGGGACGAACTACAGCAACTCCACATGAACATGACGATGAGCACCCTTTCCCCACTGGAGCACGCGGTACTGATGCTTCGGTACTTCCGCGAAACCAGACTTCCGCGCGCTTTGCCTTTATCATGTCGTCGCGTCACACCTTTCCGACCAACGTGCATCATGCATCTGTTCCACATTGTCGAAGTGACCTATAATTGTCCTCTGGTTCAGGAGATATTCACTCCGTGGTGAATCGTGCTCTAGCCGTGTGGATCATGCTGCTCTACTATGTCTCGCATGCTAATCACACTCTGTTGATCTGCCAAGCCTTCTATTGTTTGGATCATAGGTGATCTCCAGGTCGTATCGCATGCTCTGTTCGAAGAAATGAACCCTGCCATGGTTCTCCTGATCTGGGACGCCGACTCGCGTGTTTGTTTCCTGTATAAAGAACTTGATATTTGGCAGATCTGGACACTGGGAAGAGCTCGACCGAACCTCTCTTTCTCCACAGCGCCCGCCCCCCTTCTGCAAAGATGTTTTCTGTGACAATGGTCGTCGCTCTCACGTTCGCTGTCGCTGCTACAACCTTTACTTCGCACCTTGACGCAGGTTCGCTCTTCCCTCGCACGTCCTGCTCAGCGAGTACCCCGCTATCCTGCCACAACACGACGAAGCAGACCAACTTGTGCTGCTTCGAATCTCCTGGAGTTGGTCGCATCCCCATACAGTCAGAGAGATAAGGTTGTAACATGATTTTAACTCCAGGGCTCGATCTTGCAGACACAGTTCTGGGACACGGATCCTAGCACTGGCCCTACCAACTCTTGGACGATCCATGGTCTCTGGCCTGATCAGTCAGTCGATCCTCCATGGTCGGCATCGTGCTGACGCTGTAGACAGCTGTGACAACTCCTACTCCGAAAACTGCGATCCCTCGCGTTACTATTCCAGCATCACCAACGTGCGCGTTTCCTCCCCAGTCCGCCCAAACTCTAACACTTCATCAGATCCTTGAGAATGCCGGTGCGACAGACGTACTTTCATACATGCAAACATACTGGAAGAACGACCCGAACGACGGGAGCGATGAAGAGTTCTGGGAGCACGAGTGGGACACGCATGGTACGTGCTATTCCACACTCGCCCCGGCTTGCATCTCCAGCAACGTCGAGGGGCAGGACGTAAGCGCTTCTCACCAGGCATCGAACCATTCTCTCACAGCACACAGGCAGTGTACTTCTTCACCCGGGTAGTGAATACGTTCAAGACGCTAAACACGTACGACTTCCTCTTCTCGCAGGGGATAACCCCATCCTCCAGTCAGACGCACACGCTCTCCTCACTCCAAACCGCCCTCAAGTCCGCGTACGGGTACACACCCGCGCTCACCTGCTCCGGGTCAGACCTGAACCAGATCGCATACTACTTCAACCTCCAGGGGTCGCTGATCGACGGCGTGCTGGAATCGTATGACGCCCCCAGTGGGGGGTCGGACTGCCCAACCAGCGGGATCCGGTATCTCCCCAAGTCCGGGTCAGGCTCCAGCCCACCTCCGACCACGACCACGACCTCTGCTGGGACGAGCCCAACACGTGGAGCCGGCTTGCCGAACAAAGCCACGCTCCAGTCTTCGACTGGCACTGGGTGTCTGCTGAGCTACGGCACCTGGTCTACTCAGACGTGTGCAACGTTCACCTTCTCTGGCACCCTGAGCGGGTTCACGTTAACGAGCTCCAAGGGAGGGTGTGGAGTTCAGGGAGGGATATTGACCTGCGGAAATGAGAATGAGGGAACTTTCACGGCACTTAGTGCGAGTGGGGGGGAGATGTCACTTGCTTGGGGTGGGAGTACGACTTTTAGCTCTGATGCGGTGCCGAGTGGTCAGGTGCAGGAGAGGGTGTACACGGGCTCCGGGCACGAGAAGGTGCTGAGTTTCATCATATCGTAACGTGTTAAAAGGGAGTCAGGCCTATGCGCTGATAACATATTCTTGGAGAGAGACAGAAAGAACATGATCCCCAGGAAAGCGCGAGAATGATGCAGCGATATGGCGCGTTCTGTTGCAACACATTCCATTTTGTGCTTCCAGTGCTATGCTATATTTCCCCGCGTATTCCCTAATTGAGGGAAGGTATCTACAGAGCATCTACGGAGCAGATAATGGGTGGGTGAGAGAGGGGAGGGAACAGGAAGAAAAGAATGCTATCACATGATGAAACAGTATGAATGCAGGAGTGAACTACAATGTGGTTGTATTTGTTCAAGCATAGGCATATATTGACCGATGGACAAAGGCATGAGATAGGGAACCGGTCGTCGGTGTTAGCTTTCTTGAGTGCAAGTCATCTAAAGAGTCTGGCAGAATGCCCGAGTCATTTACGATCTCACTGGCCTGGGTACAGGAACACGCACCTTGTATGTGCTTGCAAGACTATTTACATGTTGTCGAGGGAATCATGTCGTCCATCAATGTCTGCACAGTTATTCGGGTTCCATCACGTGATTCAGCCCTCTCCAAGAGCGCTGGGTTCCGTCAGGGAGATGCCACGGGGATGACTGAAACGGATGCGGAGCTTACAGCGCACGGATACATGGAACACAGTCAGTTCACTATTATGGGGTACTTCACTCGTGCTGCAACAGGTCCTGAACCCTTCGTCAGCCGTTGAAAGCGGTCAGAATCGTAATATCAATTCAAGCGTTGACAATTATGGTAGGAACACTGACAGTAGAGCTGCTCAACTCAGGCGGATGGATAATTGTTCCTAGCACTTCTGGATCATATGATTTATGAACAACAAACGAAAAAGTCAGTAGCTGTTTCACCCTGCATTCTGTGCGGCGCTTCTTGATTGAGTACGCACCATTCGTCTCATCGCATGTTCCTGAATATATCCTGTAACTCCGCCTCTCCGCACCTGACATGTGATCGAAAGTAAGGAGGGTTGTTAACTGGCCCTCGATTCCAGTGCATTTGTATGTAGGGTATAGTTATTTCAGAAGTCGTGTTTGATATATACAGAGAATTGCATGATGTAGGTAGAGTGCGTCATAAGTCACTTGGACTGATTACCTACCTGCGGGTGCTGTTCCTTCGGCTTTTCCTTGCGTTGGTTCGCCCGGAGAATATCATCTACTCTTTCGCACTTCTTCCCTTTGAAAATGGCGCTCATTTCTATCAATTTTTCCCCAAAACAGTCGTGTACCTTAAGATATTCTGTATTGCGTTCCTTTCCGCGATCCTTCTCGCTCAGAGCTGCTTCAAATTCCTCATACGCATCTATCAGCGATTGTTGCGTGTCCAACAAATACGAGATCGATCTGCGACCAGCACCATCGAAGTGTTCAGCCATTCGGGGGCACTGGTAGTCTGAACGGAAAACGTCCTTTCGGTATCCAGAGTGGAAGATTTCATCTCGTCTCTTCCTTTGCTCAATGGCGTGTTCCACGGGGTCCTCGTCGTCCACCACGGTGTTGTACAACATGGATATGGCGATCCAAAAGATTGACTCGAGGTCATGACCAGCGTTATGTTGCAATGGAAAGATCGTGCCCAAAGACGCCAGCCTTTTTTTTTACGGGGTAGGAACATATAAAAGCCAGCGAGCACCTCCACCGCCATAAAATCGGGAGTCCCCTGTGATGTCCAGGGATTGATAAGCCTAATGCATAAAGACGCTGCGAACGGCACGTACAGTCCGCACATGGTGCCCAGCTCCGTCACTCATATAGATGTTTGCAAAGTTCAGATCGCTGAGCCGCCCTCGTTCCTCCTTTGCATCAACGATGATATTGCCTGGAGATAGATCACGATGGTTGAATCCGGCAATGCACATCATTTTGCATGCTGCAAAGCATCTCAGCCACAAATCAAGCAATCCTGCAAAGACGACACCGACCCTGGACGACATCAGCTAGCGCTTTAAATGCGACATCTAACCTCGCGATGTGGTGCAACGGTTCTCCAATGTTGTCCATCACTGTTCGATAATGGACACGGTGGTGGATCTGGAGCAGAGTGGGCGGAGAGGGTACAACTTCCCCGCTCTTCCCTTTCAACGACATTTCCTTCCTGCCTTCGCCCCCCTCGGAATTTTGCATAATGGGACTTAACGCTCCGGTCGTGTCGTCCGTTCCAGTCTGCGCCCCACGTGCCGTCTTGATCCAAACTGTTCCTTTCGAAAACTCCTTACCACCCATGATCCCTGCTGTATCATCACGGACTCCATTGACCATCACTTCTTCATCACCGCTGATATTCACGAAGTAGTTCTCAGCCTTCTCGCCAGGGGGGCAGATTCAATTTTTCGGGGCTCCTCTTCTCGATCTCCTTGATCGCCTTCATCACCCGATCGTAGATCTTCCGTTCAGGCTCCCGATACTCGTCCCGCCAAACCTCTTTGATCGCTACCCTCTTCGCCCGCTTCAGATCTGCGACATCGGTTTTTGGCAGCCGATTGGCGTCGTCATTGACGAGCCATGCTTCATAGACACGACACGCACTCCCGTGCAGCGCGCGCGCTCGGTGATCCGCGATTGGCCTTTTCCGAACTTGATACCGCTTCCCGTCAATGTTGACGAGGAAGAAGTCTGCGCCTTTCGGCATTCTCATTGTTGGGTCCAGACCGAGCGCGGTCTGATCCGCGAACGCAAAGAAGGCAAATGTCCGGAATAGGCGTTTGCGTTCCTGTGTTTGCAATCAACGCTACGTTCGCGCGTTGTGCGACAAGTACGCACCATCTGCGTGTCAAACCCCATGCTGACGAGCATCGCGGAGCGAGTCGCTACCCACAGACGCGCCTCTGTCTTCTCTATTGTCATACCGACCGCGAACCGGCGATTGATATTCTCCCACAACATATGTTGCAGGTCCCAGATGATTTGCTTGGTGTTCTGGGCAAAATGTCAGACGCTAGGAAAACGATGTGAACACATCCGTTCGGCGCACCTGGATACCCATGAGACCACCCAGATCCTGCTCGTTCGCATTCTTGAACTCGTACGCCGAAAACAGGTCGACCCACACGTATCGCTGCTTGTCCCATTGGATCTTGAGAGAACTGTCCTTTGGATTCGCTCCATCTGGTCTGCTTGAATTTTCCTTCAGGGTGGACTTGGGTGTATTTTTCGGTCGGAGCAAAAGAGGTCGCGCCTCTGAGCTTCCCGGCCAACTCTCGCAGGTCTTGACGATGAAGTCATGGAGAGGGCGGTAAGCTTGGAAAACATCATCTTCTTTGCCCGCAAGGATCGATGTTTGATCTGTCGTGGTGAGGTGTGGAAGGTTATCCCATTCGTTCCCCGTGAAAACTGGATGACTATCCGACAGCTGCTCTACGAATTTTGCGACCCATTCGGGCAAGGGCAAGATCGCCTCCATACGTTCGTTCGGAATAAGGAGAAGACGGGTCGACTGAAACATGACATTTGTCTGTGGATCATGAGCCATGTCGAGGGAAACCGAAGTGGTAAGCGCAGGGACAACTCACCATTATGCGATGTGTTCATATAACCCTTAGTACGCTGGCGCCCGCCTTCTGGCGAATCTGTGACCCAGTAGAAACAAAGTGTTACCGATGCACAGAAGATGTTTTCTGACCACATGTAACCTCCGGCAAGCACAATACGTCAATGTCGTCCAGCTTCAAGCCGTTCAGTACAGCAACCAGTGCGGTGATATGTATTCAGTCACAGGTTTTGTCTTTCCGAGGAGAGCGCGGGACAATCGAGCAGTGATATGCTCTTGAGACGAACAATATTAATGGGCACAGAGGTCAGGGCGAGGACGAACGCGTGATCTTGAAGGACACCAGAAGGACAGCCCACGACCCTATAATGAGGTACCCTTTAGGGGTATTTTCCTCGCGTGCCTAAAACCCACAGAAGGGGCTTGCTGCAATGGCATGCTGCAGCAAAACAAGGCCATCATATCAGGAAAATGCTGCAGCATTATTTGAGGAAATTGCTGCAGCAATTGCATTATGACATAGAACAAGAAGGGTATATATCAGAAATGTAGCTATTTAAGCCTACCAGATGTTGTCCAGCTGTTCTACAAGGTGATGCTTTGCCTCCTTCTCCTTGCACTCCACCTCCTGCAAATGTTTGGGCTCATCCTCCTTGTACTGCCTCAAGGTGTTCATGACACCTTTGCTGACCTCAGCACTCCATGCCTTCATTGCCTGCTGTATGAGGTCTTTTGAGGCTGCCTGTAGTTCTGCACTGGTAAGCACTGCCACTGCTGCAGGGAAAAGTGCCTTCATTTGCTCCAATGTCATGTTTGCAAAGGATGGACCCTTGCCTTTGTAGGAGGGCTTCCTGGATGTGTTTGCTGGTCCATGAGAAATCAGCAGTTCAACCACAGGAACCATCTTTGGCCCACCTCCTGTCTTCTTGGCTTTTGGTGGTGGAGGGGGATGGTCAGATTTCTCTTCATCCTTGTCCATAGCATAATCAGATGGGTGGAGTGACTGCACCTCCTCATGGTCCGATTCAGCATCCCCAGTATCCATCTCTTCTTTGCTGGACTGTTTGAAGCTGTCTTTACAAGCCTGGCAAGGAGGATTGTGCCTGGTTGGAGTTGGTGTGGCCTCAACAGAAAACATTGCACCCAGGGTCTCTCCTCAATCCTCTGTCTTCCTCTGTGGTTCCTCCTGGTCCTTGCACAGGAGCTTCACCCAGCATTTTGTAGAAGGGGTCAAGCTATGCTGCACCTTCACAAGATCAACAGTGGCTTCAAGTTTCTTGTCATAATACAGCATAGGGATCATGATGATGTCTGTGCTCTCTACAGCATTCTGGGGTGGGGGAATGAAACACTCAAAGACAGGTGTGCTGGTTCTGTAGGCACCTGCAGAGTGCTCAGTATTTGTTGTGCATTGTGGGTTAGCAGTGTACCTTTTGTAAATGGCACCAGCTGCAAAATACCATGGTAGAGAGCCCAAAGCACATCCCATTGCTGCCAAACAGGCATATTAGCCACTGTCTTGGGTTCGTGGCTGTTCACAGTGCCAAACAATTTCCACAGTGAGGCAGATCCATGCCTGACAGGCCAGCCTTCCCATCACAGCCCATTCTTGACTGGGTTGGGCACCATCCAAGAGTTGAGCTGCAGCTTGGCATTGGGGTCAACTTTCAAAATGCCAAAAGAGCCTGTCCAAGGATCAGCTCAAGTAGGTTGTGAAAGAACTAGAAACAGTAGGCTTACACATGTAGTTGCAGATCTCCATGACTACAGTGATCCTAACAACATCCTGATTCATCTGCAATAGCTCCCTCCATGTCCACTGATAAGCTTTGTGGTTGGAGAAGGGTGTCTTGTCAAACTTTGCCTTTGACAGGCCATTTTGCACATTCTCTGGGAGATCATAGTAGCTGGTGGGTAGTGGGAGCTCACTATCAGCACCAGACTCTGTGTTGCCCTTGTTCTTGCAAGCCTGCTGCAAGCACAGCAGCAAGGCAGATGGGGCTTGCAACACATTGGATCCCTGTGGCAAGGACTGCACAAGTGTGTTGGGTGTACTGTTGGGGTCATCCTGATCAACAAGGGCTGGACATTGTGCAACAAGCAGCAAGCAAGGTTCCATAGAGTGTCCTCCCAGCTGAGGGTTGCTGGCATCCATTGCCAGCAACAGCAAATACCCTGTAGCAGTAGGCTGCAGCATGTTCATGTGCTGCAGCATCTCAGTGGGTTCCAGTGAGCTGGGGTGCTGCAGCATGCATGGTGGCTGCAGCACACACATAGGCTGCAGCATCAGTGTGGGCAGCTCCTGCAGAGAAGCAGGCTGCACCTGTGTGCATTCAACAGAGGCAGCCCAGGGGATATAGCCAGGTGGGAGGTTGAAGTAAACAGGATCATAATCTGGTAGAGACAACAGTGAGAGAGAGTGGTAATAACTCTCCTTCACAGAAGTGAGGACTCTGATCAAATATGAGATGGTTTCTTGTCAAGCTGGAGACAATGACTTACTTTACAAATGACTGGAGATCCATGGCTTTCTGTGCTCCACCAGGCATTGCATCACAGTCAAAGAAACCAGCAGTATCTTTGGATGAGATGAAACATGCATATTGGGGCCCATTGTCTGAATTCCGAGAGACCAAGAACATGACTTTGTTGATTCCAAATTGTGCCATGCATGAAATGTCCAGCTCTTCAGCACAAGCATCACTGTTGATTTCAGTATGATGTGCTGCAGCAGCATGGGCAGCATTCTCAGGCACTGGGACATCCTTGCATCAGCCTGAAACCAGTGCTGCATGCAAACAGAGAACATTGCACAGCTGTGGCCAGAGTGGCAATGTGGGCAGACAACACTGCTTCAAGTTTGCCCATTCGCTCTTCACATGGGGACCATCCCAATGCGGGTGCTGCTCCATGCAGCAGGCTTGCCAATCATTCCATGCATTGGCACTCTTTGAGAGAGGGACTGCTGCAGCAGTGCAAATATGATGTGGCAGGGCCTCAGCAAGGCATGCTGGGGACATTGCATAGTGGTGCTGGAGGAAATTGGAGAGCTTTGCAACCATCATTGTGAATAGTCCTAGGTCCTCAACCTCCTGCAGGGAGGGACATCTGGGTTCACCTGGTGCATGCACAGTGAACTCTGTCCTGTCTTGCTCCAGCCTATGCTTCACTGCAAGGAGGCACTTGTGCGGATCATTGAGTGCAGGGATTGGTGGATGGGACTGAACATAGGTACCTGGTGCAATGGTCCTGGCTGGAGGTGCAGCTGTTGATGGCCAGATTGTCTCCCATATGGAGTCTACTGCTGCTGAGGTTGTGGGTGCAACTGTTGTGGGAGGGGTTGTCTGTGGGATGACAGCTGCATTGGCCTCAGCTGGTACAAGCAAGAGGGCATTGGTTGCAATTGTTGTTTGGTTGGATTGCATGACAGCAGTTGGAGGAGATGCAGTGAGGGTCATGGTGGCAACAGTAGGAGCAGCTACGGCAGGAGCAGCTACCACAGGAGCAGCTACAGTGGGAGCAGCTGCAGCACTGGGTGTGGCAGGAGAGTGGAGCAGAGTTGTGGCAGGCATGAAAGCAGTAGCCACATATGCAGCAGCATGCTGATTTAGGTACCCAAGCATGTTGAAGAGAGCTGCCTCCTCCCCTGCATCTTGAGAATTGAAGTCCTGGGAAAAAGCTTGATGATCTGAGTAACTGCCAGCAAGCATTTTGTCCTTTTCAATTTCATCAACTTTGATTTGCATCTCTGCCCTTTCTTCCTCATGCTCCATGTCATTGAACTCCTGTACTTCTCCTAACCCCTTCTTGTCCAGGTCTATTTCATCGACTTCTTCTGCCTGGGCTGTGTAGCCTGGCAGGACTTTCTGGTTGGGCAGCTCCAGCTCCAGGCATGACAAGAGGTGGGCATTCTCATCCATGGATCCTACTTCTTCATGCTGTAAACTGTTGTCCAGCAACAGAGTAAGGTCTGAGAGTCAATCATGATATTGAAGGGACAGTGTGGCTCTTTCTTCAGTCTGACCACAGGCAGTGGTAGTGGGGATACCGGGACACAGTTGCTGATGCACATCAAGAGATGCTGTGGGCAATTCCTGGGGCAGCTGCTGATCTCCCAACTGCAGCTGCAGCTGTGCCGGCTCTGGGGTTTTGTCCTCACCCTCATTTGTGGGTCCATCATTCCCTGCTTCAGGCTTCATGCCACTGTGCTGTCCATCTGCCTCTCCATCAACCTCTCCATCTACCCTCAGCTTGCTGATCTCATCACCCTCCTCAGTACATAGCTGGCACTGCATCTCTTCCTCATCCTGCATGTCTTCATCTGTTACAATCAAAGGCATTGCAGGGGGTGCTTGGCCAGCTGATGTGGCTGGTGTGGCTTCAGCTGTGTCAGTGCCTTGCAGCTTCTTTCCTTGAGAGTGCATGTTGCACAGTGCAATGACTCCTTTGGTATCTTTCTTATTGTGATGCATGTTCTTCTGTTGTGGAGTGTCAGTGATGGTCACAGAGGGGTCATTCAACCAAAAGAGCTTACAGTTCTGGGGGCCATGGTAGTCAAAGTCTGGGGCATCTTGGGCACAAAAGCTTGTGTACTTATACCTTTTTTTTTCCCTACCTGAGGTAGCTTAGTGTTGTTAGGCCAGGTGGGTTGCCACTGGTGGCCTTGATGCATGTCTGGCCTTTTATTGGCCCCTGGACCATGTGCACTGCAGTGGCAATGGAAGCAAAGAAGGCATGATGGTCTTTCATGCATCTCTTCAATATAATCGGCTGCAGCAAAAGTTAGGCTTGCAGCCAAGACCAGAAGCAAAGAACAAACAGTGCCTGTCATGCATTGCTGTCTCATGCCATTGGCTGCATTAAGCACTGCAGCAGAAGTGGACTCAAATACATCCACTTTCATGCCATGAGCCTTAGCTGTGGTTGTGGGCCTCAACTCTCCTGTACAACCATATGACCACCAGCAGTTGCAGCAACCACCTCAGCACTTGCCCACCTCTGTTGTGATGGAAGAACATCATGAGCCAGACTGCAACCATCCTCTCTATGACACAGATCTACTTGTATGGAGCCAAAGCTTTTCTGAAGCCACACACTCTCCTGATGGTGGAATTGACCACACACACAAGTCAAGTTGGCCATTCCAAATGCAGTTGCAGGGGTGGTACTTTGACACCAGTCAAACACTGTGCTTCCCTCTGAAGCCAGCATTTCAATGAGAGTCGACATTATGTGAGTCATGTCATTGCTATTGCTGCTGCACATGCTCATCTTCCATAGCTTGTGCCTGGTTGGGGGAACCATTTGACTGTGGATACTGCAGTAATTCCATTGTGTAATTCTACTTCATATATGCTGATGTGTCATGCAGAGAAAGTTCACACCCTCCAGAACCAGAGATTCCCTTAAAATTTCCATCTTGCATACTCCTTTATCCACCAGGACAATGCCCAGACTTCTGCCCACTGGACATGTATACTCTTTCTGCCCTCCTGATTGAGCCTGACCACATGGAGCATCTTGACAATGTTGGTCCCAACATTCTGTCTCCTGTGCAGCCTCTCCAACCATTACAGCCCCCAGAGATGCTGCAGCATGAGGAGACATTGTAGCCGCAGCTGCCACTGCAGCCAAACAGAGAACACTCTGTGAATACAGCACACATCTCATGAGCATCCCAACCACATGGACCTTGAGGTGGTTTATATGGATCCTTCCTTGACAGCTCTGAGAATGAGTACAAGGACTTGGCACTGGCCTTGGGGAACAGGGCTTTCCTTGAGGGAGGACTACATGGCCTTCAAAGCTTCCTTTCCCTGCATTTCCAGTCATGGGTTCACATCCCCCATGGAGCCAGAACCCAAACACCTAGTCAAAAACACTCATGGAGTCAGCAAACACTGCACTGGCAGGAAATACAGCACCATCTTTCAACTTTGCATGTCAACAAAGTCTTGCAGGTTCAGCCTGCTCTGCCACAGCACAAGCTGCACATCCAACAGCTACAACCTTCACACTGCTCCTCCAATGAGCATAAAAATTGAACCAGAACACCAATGCCTGGATGATTCCCTGGAGGACAATGATCAGCACATTGAAGAGCAACAGGTGGATCATTGCAAGCATACACACAAGCAGCACATACATCATATTCATTGGAAACAGCATGAAGATGAACAAGAACTGCCCATTCTGCAGCCAGAAGATGTGGCACAAGACCTGGTGAAGCAGATGCTGCAGTGGCAGCTGCAGCAACTCAAGGAATTCCTGCAGCAGCCAGAAGAACAGCTGACTTGACAGCTGAACTGGCTCATGAACCTGCAGGTGCAGCACCTACTTTGGCTGCAGGACCAGCAAAAGTGATCTCAATCACCAACACCCAATGTCGACAGTGCTCCAGCCAAGCATTGCAAGATAGTAACAACATACCAGTCATGGATGAAGCAATGTAGCTTAGAAGGATCCCAAGGTAGAGAGACATATCCACCCCCAGCTTCTTGCCATTTGGATGTCAAGCAGAGTCCCCAAAGCATTCTGACATTGAATGCTGTGTTGGCTGAAGCCAAAGCAAATGCTGCAGCAAATGAGGCAGCAGACAAAGCAGATCAGGAATGTTCTGCAACATGTGCTGCTGCTGGGATAGTTTCGCCTGATCCCAGTACACAGGAAGATACTGAGGAGGAGAGTGATTATATGAGTCTGCCTTCACCTCATATGGGAGCTCTTGCTGGCCCTGCAGCCCTACCCGGTCAGAGGTCAATTGGTACACTGCCTGGGGATGCAGCTGCAGCAACCTCAGCTGCAGCAAGTGAACCTAGGCTCCCTACCCAATATTTGGTCAAGTGTCTGAAGCTGAAAGTCATGCAACCATGTCACAGTTTAAATGTTTATGCACAAGTTACTAGTGATATAGGTTCTGGTAGCCTTCACCCCTGCCACTGGCTATAATTGTCACAGAAGACAATTATGCAAATGAATCACCTGAGACAAGGTGGACAAACTTGCTGCAGTGGTTCTGCATTGAGGATGGTGTCCCATATGCTGCACCTTTTATGTGCAAAATATTGGACAACATGAACCTTTTTAGGGACAAGGTAAAGGAAATGATAGTGGGACCTATGGGTGATGCAGTAAGTTGGTCTACCAACTCAGGGAATGTACTGAACAGCAACAGTATGACTGGCCATCACAACTGGAGCATTTGCCTAGCAAGAATGAGAGGCTGACCAATATGCTAGAGTTCTTTATGAATAAGGACTATGATTGGCTGGTTGCATGTCAAATGTGGATGATGGAGCTCATAATGTTGGAACACCTGCACAAGTTTGACCCAGCCCTTCAAGGACACAACTGGAAGCCCATCATGCAGAAAATGCAATACATATTAGACCTGTTCATTTGGTCTAAAGATATGCAGGACTTTGGCAATCAGGCAGAAAGCTGGGCAGAAAGGGAAGAGGCAGGGCCCATTTTTCATGAGATTGTATTTGCATGTGACTTGCTGGGAGCACTGCAAGACTACCCATGGAGGATGTAGTAGACAGTAATACCCATTAGCACATAGGTTACCTTTTCAATGTCTGAAGAGTTCTGGCTGCAGCATCCCCCTGTACATTGGGGCCCTATGTTGCAGCACGCACTGCCACCTCTATTCAAGAGGCTGTTGCTCATCATCCACTGTGCACCTTGTGCATTCAGTTTGTAGTTGCAGCAGCAAAAGGTGATGTACCAGCATGGCTATGCCCTAGTGATTTCCAGCATTACCATTGTGCATCAATTGGCTGTCATACACAGAGCTGAGGCACAGGGTACTGCAGTGCAGCATTCCTAACAACTCCCTGTTGACATGCAGTAAGGCCTGACCCAGCAGGAGGATCTTGAAGAGGTTAAGTGCATTCAGTCCTTGGTAGAAGTACCAAACATCTACTAAGACTCTGTTATGACACCACTCTGTCCTGAGCAATGCAGTGATCACAAATTATACTGCAGCACCATGCACCTGCGCTGCAGCATTTCTGCATGGGTGAAGAGCAGAGCTAGATTGATACAGAGAGCATGGGCATCAGGGCATACACCTGCTGCACACAAAGCAGCAGCATGCTATACTGCATCACAATGGGGCAGCTGTTTACCTATCAATGTAGCATTGTCAAAAATATGCTGCAGCTGGTTCTGCAGTGCTGCTTGCAGCAGCTGACCTTAATGCAGCAGCACATGATCATGAGGATATGCCATGAAAGGTTGGGAACAATACAAATTCCAGATTACATACAATGGAAGCCAAGACCAGGAGACTGGCAGGTAGTTACATGTATATGGCTAAATGACAGGAAGGGTCTACACATGTCCTACCTTTCCTGGCTTGTGAAGCAAGACATCCATTTGAACCATGGCCAAGCCTCTGGATTAACATTCCATGCTGAGTCCTCTGCTGCAACTGGCACAGTGTGTGACTGGGGAATACTAGTATACTTGTGGCCAGAGTGTTGTACAAACCTCTGGGAGTTCACAGCTTCTTGCAGGTACTGATGACAGGTTCTTGCCACTTTTGCACAAGCTTTCTTCTGCTTGAAGTATTCTTCAGCTGTGAGGATCTCTAAGGGCACATTGCATCCAAACTTGAGGCCTGTGTGTTTTGAAAGGAGAACATCAGGGGCTGCAGCTGCAGTGGCTGCAGCAGCTGGGGTGCAGCAGCCATAGGAATAGGTGTGCTATTGGAACAGGTGTGCTATTGACCTGGGGACAATACATGCCGGCCTGCTAAGTCCCACTCCCATCAGCCCTCAGAATTGGTTCATTTTGATGGTATGGAGGGAGCTCTTGTTGGGGATATTGAGGCAGATCTCAGTCTTCTGCCTCCAGCACTTTGGCTGCTGCATTCATAGTACTGAGGTAGTACTGTTGAGATGTGCCAGTGATAGTGGGTGAAGGGAAACCATTGCAACAGTGAGCACAGGAGGGATGATGGGATGGTGGATTTGTGGGGGTAAGTTGATGGGCAGAATCCATGTTTGCACCCCTAGGAATGTGATGGGTGGGGGGTGATACAGAATCACCTGCTTCTGTGCTGAAAGATGCAGTGTCATCATATGGATTTCCACTTCCTAAACATTGGGTTAGTTGTGGGATTCTCTGATTTCTAATACATAGATGTACCAAACCCACTGCCTGGCAATCAAATGGTCCCAGGCATTATTGGTTGTGATTGTCTCATAACTCACTCTGTGCTGTATGGTCAGAAGTATGGACTTGTAACACTACTTACTGGGAGGCATGTAGATGAGGTCAAGCCTGCAGAGGATCTTGGCAAAGCCAATGCTGCAACAATGGTGGTGGGTATCCAGTTGACATGTGAATGCTTTGCATCCACTGCCAGAGCATCATTTTGTCATCCCTCATGTGATTTTACTGCCCATGTGCTTGCCACATGTTCTAGTCTGAATCAGAAAGTCAGTACCTCATCCCAGAGTGACCTGTTACATACAAATCTGTAGAAGATTAGTGAAATGGAAATAGTAACTAGTGGTTCCCAAAAGCCTGATGGAAAGCTGCTGACAGAAGTTTTGGCCTTCTTGTCATCACATTTCTGTGACACCTCTTCTTCATCAGGAACTAAATTGTTTGTGTGTTTGACCCAGCCTTGAGGAAATTGGGCACTGCCTATTCCAATGTGGCACAAGACTACCACATGTTTTCATTCAGATCCAAACTGGTTTCTCTTTGCTGCATCACCTTATCATCTCAAGTCTGTCCCCCAAAGTCCCATCTGCAACAATGCTCACCTGTTCAAGCATTCAGGCATGATGCTGCTTGCACCCCTTGCTGCTGCAGGAACACCTGCCTCCGACTCAGTGTCTGCTGATATATCAGAAGGTCCTGCTGCACCCACCCCATTGTCTGCAGTGCCATCAGTTCTAATGTCTGCTGGTGCTGCTGCATGCCCATCAGCTTCTGAAGCACCATCTTCTGTTCAGAAAGAACCTTCTACTGTTGCTGCTGCTACAGCCATTGTTGCTGCAGCACCTGGGATCTCATCCATGATGCCATCAGAAATCTGTTTGGTTACTGAAGAGCCTCATCCAGACACTGGTTCATCACAGCAAGAGCAGTGTTTGCACAACCAGCTACTCAACAAACACCAGCAGGAAGTATGTGTTCAGCTACAGGCACTTCTGCACCACCTTCAAGAGCTTGAGCACCAACATCCCCAATGCAACAAGCAGCTCCTTGAACAATTCCACCAGCTACAACTTCAGAAGCAGGAAGAGCAGTGAACAGAGCAACTTCACCTCCAACACAAGCAGCTCCAACAACAGCAGCACCAACTAATGACCCTGCAACAGCACATCACTGCACAGCAGGAACAGATCAACCAGCAACTTCAACAGCTCAAACAGCAGCAGCAGCAGCTCCAACAGCAGCAGCTCCAACTGGAACAGCAGTCAATCCCATCTCCAACCACTGTCATGAGCCCAACTGTCCCTGTGAGACCAGAGATGCTGCTGCCAATGGCCCAACCCCTGCCTCCCAATGCCAAGATTGCTGCCTTCCAAGAGTGTATCAAAGTACTTCATTTGGACAAAGTAGCATTCTGATGCCAGCAGCTGAGTGGCTAGTAACTGGTAAAGGAGACATTGATCACTGGATGCTCAAAAGCATCAAGTTAGCATTTTCCAAGAAATGCTTGTCCTCTCCCAGCATAAGTCCCCCCCCCTCCAAAAAAAAAACCCCTCTCCATCTGTAATGAAAACATATTTTTTTCAGTGTGGGCTTACTTCTGTAATAGGAAATTCCTGGCAATACATTGGCTCCAGCTCTGGCAGTGAATGTTACAGATGCTGCCAGGACCCGAAACATCAAATCTGATAATACCACTTCTGTGGAGCATGATTCTCAAGTTGTCCTCCAGAAAGAAATAGCTGATGTTGCCAAGCTGTTATGCAACCATGCAGCTGCAGCAATTGTTGATGCTGTGGAGACACAGTTCAAGGCCATGCAGGGACAAGAGGTGTGGATTGCTCTGTTCACCAGCACATACCATTGATATAAAAATGGATCTTGGGCTGCCCATCTCATCCACATGGCTCAAGACCATACCTTGGGGCTCCAGACTGACCTCATGTTTGGGAATGCTCTCTTCTCATTGTATTGTTTGTTGGTGCAGACCAACAGGTTTGTACACAATCACAAGCTGCCCTGTCTTGTTATACTTGGTATGTTCACCTGTCAAAACAATCACTGAATGGCTGCTGATGCATTCTTGGTGGTTATGATCATCTTGCTAGTTGCATACAAGTGGTCTTTTGGGGAGTGGTGGGAGCACTTCTTAGAGGTATTGGGAAAGGCAAGTTGAACACCTGCAGCCACTGTATCTGTGATACAACCATTTATCCACTGGTTACATGAAGTACAAGCCTAACATGCTTGTATTGCATCAATTTTAGTAAAGAGAGACTGAAAAATATCAATTGTCACTATTGCTCATGTTACTGGAAGTTGTCAAGTTACCCATCTGCCACTCACTGGGTTAAAAAAAGCCATATGTGAATAGGAAGACACACATCATCCCCAGCAAAGAGCTCAGCTTCAACTTTGCTGTCTGAAGCCTGCTACAAAATTCCTTTATTGCCAGCTGCAGCCACCCTGTTGACTGCCAAGTCAGCCAAAAATTCATCCATGTTGGCCTCTTCATTGGAGTCTTCCACATCATGCAGGCCACCAGCACGATCCTGTGATGAAGAAACCTGCACTGTACCTAGAAACTCACTTACAATGTTGCATGCAGTAGCAAGCAGCTGCAACTCTACACAATGCTGCAGCAGTGGTTCAAGGTGTCTGTATAGATCAAGATACTTGCTGAGTATCCACACAATACCCAGCTGACCACTGGAACAGTCTTCTGCTCTCTAGGCAGTTACTGTGCCCTCAACAACTTGTTGAATCCATGCAGCTGCAGCAGTAGTCTCTGCTGCAAGATGCACCTCCTCTTTGACACAACAATCTGGTTGCAGCATCATTGTGATTCCATGTCGTACATCAGGGTTGATGAACCATGCTGGTGGTGGTGTTCTGGTAGTGTCAAACCAAAGGGTATACCAGATTGGAGAGTCCACATCAGTATCCAGAGGAATATTCATCAGTATCAGACTTGGAATATTACCTGACTAAACCCATGCTGGCATGGGATCCACCTGCTGCAGCACATTGACAGCCATGTTGTACCTCCAAATTGCCTCTTTACATGAATGATTGTGGTGCAATATCTTTGCCTCTACTTGCATAACACCTGTTATGCCTGTACAGAGATCAACAACATCCACATTGAGTGTTAGTGTGCTTCCCTAGGTGCCCTTTCATGGGACCACTTTCATTGTGCTGATACTTGTGGCAATGAATGACTTCCATCTCCATATTCTGGTGCACCAACCATCAGACAACAGCTTCCTTTAGAGCCATACATTTAGAGAGAGCAATGAGATATGGAATGTCTGTGTGACATATATGTTGCTTGATTCCTTTGATGATACAAACCACACCAAGCTGTTCCGCAAGCACTGCCATTATGCAGCTGCTTGGTATTAGGTCTGATAGCCATGCCCATATCTGCTCACAACCCTCCCCATTTGTCAAGCCAAAACTGATTCTTTTTCAAGGGTGAAAGTGAAGTTGGCAGGCCCACTGATGTCCATATGCATGCAGGACAGAGGTTGCCCATGTAATCTGACCTTGAAGCTTGGGCATCAGACCATGCTGTAATGCTGTTAGTTCACTTCTACAGTATGGAATGGCTACACACCTTATTCACAGATCTGTGTGCCTGGCAAGCAATGTTGTACAGTACACTGACAGTTGCTGCAGCAGGGAGCTGATCCATCACCTTTTGCATGAGGGTAACAGTATAGAAATGCTTCTCTCCAGTGTCTATCAAATTTGTTAAATATAGGGGTATGTCATGACAACAAACAATTGCCACAATCCCATGGACACAGTATTGGCTCGAGTTTTGCCATCTTTGTTCAGGGTTTGCAGCTTTGAAAGAGGCCTTGCACAAATTGAACACTGTATCCTCCTCAGATACATTGGAGGGGGACAGAAGGTGTGGCCATGGACTGGCTGCAGTGGTGGTTGGCAACAATTCTCTTCACCCAGATGCAGCACATGCAGCTGCAGCACATGTGATTGTGCAGCAGCAACCTCTGCATCAGTGAGAAAAAGCTGTGATGGAATGATGGATGGATCCTGAGCTATCCACACCATTTGACAGTGACCAAATTGGGCATTTATGCAAAGATGGAGATCTGGGTTACTATGAACAGCACACTTGAGTGCACAGCATCTAAGGTAAGAAGCCATACCTCTCAATATCACTGCCCCACACAGGACAATAAAAACATAGAGGGCAAAGCTCCCTCAGCCACAAGAGCTGTGCATCATCCTGAGGGGCTGCAGCAGTGCAGCTATGGTTGATCTGTTGCATGGTCCACTGCTGCTGCAAACAAGTCAGCATGTCAAACCAAAGAACTGCTTCTGGGAACTGCTTTTCAAATGGTTTCTAAATCCAAAGTTGGTCATGGTGGAGGTGCAGAAATGTGGTATGCACCTTATTCTGTTTGTGGTATCCTTGTATGCACAGTGCTGCAACAATCCCTTTGCACCAACCAGAAAGTGATTGTGTTTGACAATTGTTTTGAGCCAAGAAAAAATCCAGTGCAAGAACTGATATTCCCAAGCATGGTCAGAGTGGAGCTGACATGAAGTAGCTGCAGCCCAACAGTAGCTTATGCAGCTGTGGGTCACAAGTTGGTTGGGTGCAGCAATAGATTGTTACAGTCTGTATGGCTGCTGCAACCATGATGAGCCAGATTATGGGGTGAAGAAAACACACACACAAGTGATATCCAGCAGCTCAATGTCTCATGCAGAAATTTGAGGACTTGAGCAGATGCAACAAGTTGTCTCTGGTGTTGTGGGGAGTTGCTGTGTCATATGCTGTAGGAGCTTCAATGACAAGTCCATGAGCAGTTTGACCAAGGATTGCACAAGAGCAGACCATTCACTCCACCATTTGCTGCACTTGGCTGATGTGGACAACACTGCAGCCACTAGCCTTGATGCCCTGGTGTCATTGTAACTGTGTATTCCATGCCTGCATTTCTTCAGGGTGGTGTGGTGAGGCAAGACCAGGAATGGGTTGTTGTGTGTTGGCAAGGATAGGAGGTCATGCAATATGGATGGAATGAAGCATCTGTCATTTGATGCAAGGGTTGGTGTGCCATCTGAATGAGCAGAAGCACAGTCTGGGGTACCCACTGCTGTTGTACCCATCATGACACCTGCTGCAACACACAATTGAGTCAAATGCCACAAGTAGATGGATGCAGACCCACAGTGACAAGCATGTCCTGCAGCAAGAGAAGTGGTCTGCTGCTGTGGAGTTCAAGGTATTGATAAAGTTGAAGGCAAGTTGCACTGGCTTGGCTCTGAATGCTGAAGTACATCCCCTGCAGCAGTAGCAGCAATGGCTGCATCTGCAACCCTCTTTGACCGGCTGGGGCAATGTTGAACTTGTTGGGGCTTCAACAATGAAGCCACAGACAATGCAAAATGGTGGTTCACAGCTGGGGGTGCAGCAGAAATTGAGCAACCCCTCTTGCTGCAATGGTTCATGGGGGTACTTCAGCTTTCCAAGAGGGGAGAAAAAAGCATGGTGCTGCTGCTTTCCATTTTTTTCTTACTGTGCACATGTTGCAGCAGTGGGACACACTGCATTGTTTTTCCAGCCATGCAGTAAGGGATACAATCCAGTGCACCACCCATTGTCAAGCTGCAGCCACAATCCATACAGAAGGAAGCAAAACAAAGCCACAAGTCAATATCAGTGGCATTCCATGTATCATGTGTGGGTATATCCTGCCATCACATAGGGACACAACCAAGGTGAATGATTTGTGCAAAGGAAAACAGCATGCAGTAATTCCAAGGTGTGCTACAATGTATGTGCTGATGAACCATGACAACATGCAGCAGCTACAGCATGTACATGGAGACCAGTTGTTTGGTTCCAAATGTGTAAGGCAGGACTGGATGGTGTATAGTAACACAAGAGCATGGTATGACCTGTCAAAATGCAGAGTAGCAATGGTACTGTTAGGGCAACACAGGCTGACTAAGTCTGCTCACCTAAGAGTGCCAAGAGTCTA